GCGCCTGGGGGGACGGAGGCTGCGGACTCTGTTGAGGACAGCTCGGACCGGCGTCGACGCAGCAAGCCCGGCGACTCCTTGATGAAGGTCAGCTGCCGCCGGAATCCCGAGCGGTCAGAGGACTCGCTGCCGCTGGAGCGGGCCGAGGCCACGCGCACGAGGCCCAGGCGGCCCCCGCGCGTCCCCGGGACTCCCTCGGCTGCCGCCCGGCTCCTGGGACCCGGCTCTGGGGTTGCCCTGGCTAGCGGCGGCGGCCCCCGTCTAGCCGGCCTCTGCATGAACGGGATCCGCACGGGCGACTTCTGTGTCTTGTGTTGCTTGGCCAGAAGGGCCCGAGCAGGCGTCTTGGGTAGCGAGGTCGCCTCGGGGCCAGGCAGGGGACCTGCAGCCGAGGTGGCCAGAGGGGACTTCCTGGGCAGGGGCTGGGAGGCGGGAGAGGTCTGGGAGGAGCTGGAGGATGGGGTCTTGGCCAGGCGGGCAGGGGGTGTGGCGCTCCTAGGTGGGCGGCTCAGTTCGGCCAGCTCTGAACTCTTGCCAGGCCGGTGCAGGCTCCGCGACCGCTGCTGCCCAGGGTTGGAGGTTTTGGCCTTGGCCTCAGGCTGTGTGGGGCCAGGGTTCCCCAATTTCCTGGGTGTGGCACGGGGGCCAGGGATGCCTTTGGGCTGGGCTCGATGGGCAGGACTGGGCACATAGATCACTGTGCGACCCCGAAGTACAGCAGGCCCCTCAGGCACAGTCTTCTGAGCGAGGTGCCCCTTCTCAGGGCCTGCGGGTGAGCGGGGGCTCCCACTGCTCTTGCTGGTGGCCAGGCCCCGCTTCTCTGGCCGCTGGGCACTGCCCATCTTGGCCCCTGCTCCAGGCTGTCTCCCCTTCCTGTGCTTGGAGGGCGGCAGGGTGGGGCCCCCTGACAGCCCAGACACCAAGGACAGGAGGGAGTCAGACTCTGAGGAGGCCTCCACGGTGGCCGCTGCCGCGGCCTGGTGCAACCACGTGACAATGGAGTTGGCCCCGTCCTGGATGGCTTGCCACTCCACGCTGTCCAGGTCCGAGGCTGGGTCTGAGCCCGCCACCTCCTCACTGCACCCCTGAGGTACCTCTGCTGGCCGGATGTCCAGCCGGGTGACTCGGGGCTTGCGACGCCGAGGGCCTGGTGCCTGGGGCCGCCGCCTAGGCATGGCTGAGCCGATGCACCTCCGCAGCAGCTCCTCCTCGGCCCGGGGGCTTGGCGAGCTCTCGGGCCCACTGCTCGGGCCTGGGTCCTTGGTGACGCTGGCTGGCCGCTCGGAGAGCTCAGGCTCACTGAGGGAGCTGGCCGAGGAGCTCAAGGAGTAGCAGGGGGGAGTCTCATCCGCGATCAGCCTGGGTTGGGCCCTTGCAGGTGGCGGGACAGTTGAGGGGAGCTTGGATGGGGCTCGGGCCTCCTTCCTACCCATCAGGCCCTCCCGTTTTAGAGCGCGGGGTATAGCAGATGCCCTCTGGGGGGCTGGAGCTGTGGCCGCCGGCTCCAGGTCCTCATCAGAGTCGCAGAAGCAGTACACAGCCTCCTGGGTGGGCGTTGTGAGGCACAGCGACTGCAGCCCTCCGTCCCCGCTGGACCGGCCCTGGCTCGAGGCCTCTCTGTCGGAGTGCGCGCTCAGGGGCCTGCTGAGGGGTAGCTCCAGCCCTGCCCGATTCCTGCCTGTGCGCCAGGACTGCTCCCTGCTCTTGCCAATGCCCCCTGCCTTGGTCTGGTGCCCGGCTGCCTGCCTGGTGGGGGCTGCAGGACCTGTGGGTTTCTGCCTGTCTGCCGCCTCCCGGGACTGGGCCCTGGGGGGACCCTGCAGGGTCTCATCGCTGAGGGAGGCAGCACTGGAGAAGTTGACAGGTGTGCCCTCAGCCGAGTCGGTGCCAGAGTCATCATCCCGGGCTGGGGCAGGCAGCAGCATGTAGACGGGCACTGGCAGCGCCCGGCGGCCAGGCACCAGAGCCGAGGCCACCTTGCGGAGCCGAGCTGGCACAGCGGCCCCCAGGCACTCTCGAAGCAGCTCCAGCTCCTGGTCAGCAGCTGCACGGGCTCGAGAGCCTCCTGGTGCTGGCCCTTCTGGGCGGCCACTGGCCTCGTCTCGGCGGCGATGGCCCCCGCCCCCACTCCGGTCAGGGCAGGCGGGCGGCCTCAGCCGCAGCTCCACGTCCTGCTGCACATAGAGCTCATGCAGAGCCAGCGCGCTGAGGCTGGACGCACAGGAGAAGTTCTCGTCTGGCTTCTCCACTGTGAAGCGCACACTGCCCGCGTCCAGCTCAGAGGGCGGCCGGCAGCGCTCGCGGCAGTCGGCAATGTCCAGAAAGCGCTTGACGTAGCTCTCCCACTGCAGGCTGAACTGGCTGGCCTCGGGCTGGCCCGATGGCACCGGCGGTGTCTTGCTACGGCTGGGTGGCATGGTCTGCCCGGGGCTGTCGGGCAGCTCACTGGGGCTGACCGTGCCGCTGCCCAGACCACTGCAGGGGTCACTAGGGATGGAGCTGGCGATGGAAGGGCTCTCAAAGCTGCCCAGCGAGCTCACTGAGCTGCAGCGGCTCAGCACCAGGGGTGTCTCTTGCACGCAGTTCTCTGAAGAGCTGGATGGCGTGGCATCTTCCACCCCCAGGCCCCGGCTGCGGCTGTGGCGGGGTGCGGGAATGGCCACTGGCAGCGAGGTGGACCCAGGGCCCCTCCATGACCCATCCAGCTCGGCCTCCCCAGGGCCAGCTTCCTCCAGCCCCTCCAGGGAAGAGTCACTATCATCCAGGTTGCCACCCTCACTGGGGCCAGGGTGGCCGGCTGAGGACAGAGAGGACAGTGAGCTGCAGCGCGAGAGGGACAGTGGCCCCTCCTGGGCCACCAGCTTCTGCAGCACCTTGCTGGCCATGGGCGCCGGGGCAGCTGCCAGCTTCTCGGGCACTGTGCTCAGGCCGTCTGCCGACATCCAGGCTTGCTTTCGAGCCCCCGGGGAGGCCCCCGGCTGGGCCAGGGGCCGGGACCCCGTCCCGGCTGCCCCTTCGAGCAGTGGCACATGCTGATAGGTGGGCGACAGCTTGATGGTCCTGATGCGGGCCTCAGCAGCTGCGAGGTCCCTGGCAGGTGGCTCAGCCTGGCTCCCTGGCAGGTGGAGGTCCAGCCGGCTGGGCCGCGCCTGCCCGTTCAGGGGGTCCTCACGGTGCTCGGCCAGTGCAGCCAGTGGACAGGGCTGCAGGTGCTCCCGTGGGCAGTACCCGTCGCTGGTGCTGCCGCTGTTGAGGCTGTCGTTGGAGAGGCTGGCGTGGGCTGCCTTGAGCCGCAGCAACGGGTGGGCCCGGCTGCCGGCCTCCCTCCTCCCCCCGTCAGGGACCCTGCCAGGCGAGCAGGATGGGGCCCGGCCCTCCCTCGGCGCCTCCTGCCCTGGGTCCCCAGAGCTGAGGCTGAAGCTGTCGTCGGAAGAGGTGTGCAGGGCGGAGATGTCCTCCACCAGCCGGTCGATCCGGGCCACCGCCAGCGCCAACTTGGCCTTGGCTTTGGCTGCCACCGCGGCCTCCCCCCCAGCCTCCTTCTCAGGCTCCCTGCTGCTGTGGCGGACGGGTGGGGTGCGGGCCAGGGCCTGTCCCTGAAGGAGGGGGCTGCCCAGGAACAGAGACAGTACGGCTGGGCTGGCCGGCTCCGCGGCGGCGGCCGTGGCCGCCAGGGAGGGCGCATCGTCGTCGTCAAAGCAGCCCGAGTCCGAGGCATAGTCCTGGGCCAGGCCGTCCAAGTGACGCAGGGACGGCAGCGGCTTCGTGGAGGTGGGCTCCGTCTCAGGCTCAGGCAGGCCCTGCTTCTCCAGGTGACCAAGTGCCTGTGCCAGGTGCCTGGTGTCCAGCTCAGCCTCCAGCGCCCGCTGCTTCCGCACGTACAGGCTGGGCACACAGGTGCCGGGGGAGACGGCCGTGGCCGCGGCCTGGTACTTGGCGGGCCGGTGGGCCAGCAGGTTGCGCAGGGCAGCCGCGCTGCCCATGGCGATCATCTTGTGCTTGGAGTGCACCAGGTTCCGCAGCATGCCCACGGCCCCCAGGTCCCACAGGAGCTCCTGGTCACGGGGGCTGCGAGCCGAGAGGTTCCAGAGCGTGCCGCAGGCGTTGCTCACGATGGTCAGGCTGTGCGAGGTGAGGTGCTGCAGCAGCGTCTGCAGGCAGCTGTGGTCCCGCAGCACCTGCCTGAGGGGGAGGGAGGTCAGCCCTGAAGGCCCCGCCCGCCACGCCTTCAGGACCAGAGACCACTTTTTTGGGGAGGGGGGTACTGGAGATTGAACCCTGGGGCACTCCACCACTGAGCCACACCCCAGCCCTATTGTGTATGTTATTTAGAGACAGGTGTCAGTGAGTGCCTTGCTGTTGCTGAGGCTGGCTTTGAACGCGCAATCTGCCCACCTCAGCCCCCCCCAAGCTCCCAAATAATACATTTTGGTTTTAATAATAGTGTAAATATGTACCATCCAGTACTCAGGATGTACTAATGTAGCTAAAATTAAATTTGATTTTCATAAATAATAGGTATTTTATTAATATTATTTATTAAATACTGATGTTATGGAGATGTCACTTATTAATATTACTTAACAAGTAATAATTTTTAGTTTAATGAATATTTTAGCATTTTAGTACAAGTATATCCCATGCAGTATTTGAGATATACTAACATAACTAAATATATATTCTATTTTCATAAATAATAGATATTATTTATTAAACAAAACATATTTTGGGTGGGGTAAAGCTTAGTGATAGAGGGTTTCCCTAGCATGCGAGAAGCCTTGGGACTGATTCCCAGCACCAGAAATAAATATTTTGAAATAATTAAGTATTTCGGGCTGGCATAGTGGTGCAGGCCTGTAACTCCAGTGACCCGAAGGCTGAGGCAGGAGGATGCAAGTTTGAGGCCAGCCTCAGCAATGCAGTGAGAATTTAGTATTTATTACTTTTCAGTGGTAAGGCACCGCTGGTTGAAGTCCCCGGTACCAAACGAATGTCATCCCTCCTAAACGAGGAGTGCCACCCTTAACTTCAACCAGGAGATTTCAAACGTTCATTTTTGCGCGGTGCCGAGGGTCGCGCCAGCGCCCGGGCTCTCCCAGCTCAGTGCGTCGCAGCGGGAGGACACCCAGGTCACGCCGGGGTTCACCCGCCCGGCGCCCTGAGTCCCTGGGGCGTCGTGGGGGCGCCGATCACCTGCACTGGTTCTCTGTCCACCCGCCCCGGCCTGCACCCCCGGACCACGGGGCGGGGCTGACCTGTAGTCCTCGCGGGTGGCGATGAGGCTGGACACGTTGCGCAGGATGCCGCCGCCGCTCTCGATGACCGCCAGGGAGTTGCCCTGGCACCGGTAGGTGAGCGTGCTCACCAGGAAGCCCAGGGCGCCGTCCACCTGGCAGATGGCCGCCTTGTTCTCGGTGCTGTGGGCCGACAGGTTCCACAGGGCGCTGAGCACGCTCTTCAGGGTGGACTCCTGGGCACAGGGAGCGGGGTCAGCCCGGCCAGGGCGAGAAGGGGCCGTTTTCCAGCCACAGTAAGATTCCTAAACTCAGCTCCATGGGCCTGCGAACCACAGGGCTGGCCACTCCAGGTCCAGCTGCGGCTGGACCTCCTGCTGACCGAGTCTGGCTTGACCCACCCCGCCCAGGCCAGGGGCTCACTGCCCCGCAGGGGCCCTCCCCAGTGCCCACCTTGGAGGCCCGCAGGACACACTGCGTCAGTGCGGTCATGCTGCCGACCTCCCGCAGCACCTTCTTGCTGTTGATGTCCGCCCTCCAGGACAGGTTGCGCAGGATGCTGGACACCACCTGGGGCGGATGAAGGCAGAGGCGGTGGAACCCAAGCAGCAAGCAGCCCCACACCCCGAGCCAGGTCAGAGCCTGCCCCTGGGGCCTGCAGAGAGCCCCAGCCCCCGCTCCGCCACGCTCCGCCACGCTCCACCCACCTGGTGCAGCTCCTCACTGTCCGAGTCCAGCTGGGCCACGATGGCCTCCATGCAGCCCCGACGCGCACACAGAGTGGCCTGTTGGGGGTGACATAGGACAGTCACATTCACAGTGACGGCGCAGAGGCCTGAGGAGGAGGCCCCCTTCCTAGCTGCACCTCTCTGTAGGGACGAGTTGCCCAGCTGCTGGGGCCAGGAAATGGGGGCCCAGACAGGGGCAGGCACGGGCCTCCCAGAGCCAGAGGCCCCTGCTGTGCCATGAGCGCAGGCCTCCGGCAGGCGTGAACACCGCAGTGGAGAGGACACTGCCCAGGTCAGCATGCCCCTCAGCCCTGGCCCTCTCTGGCCTCTGTCTCGCGTCTGTAAGTTGGGAGTGACCTCCTCACCCTTCTTGAGGCTGGCCAGAGGTGAGAAGAGGCCAAGATGGTCCCTGGAACCCTGGCTGGGGCAGCAAGGACCCCACCGCCCACCATCCCTGGGTACCTTGTTGGCCACGTCCCCGAAGGTGAGGTTGGTGAGGGTCATGCCGGCGTAGCGGCGCAGGGCGAGGTTCAGCGGGTCCCGGGTCATCTTGTGCATCTCATAGTCCACCTGCAGCAGCTCTGCTACTGCCTGCAGCCCACCTGCGGGGACCCAGCGAGGCTGGCCAGTGAGGCCACCTGGCTGGAAGTCCAGCACCCCCATCCCCTCCCATCCCTGCCGACAGGCTGGTGGGTCCTTGGGGCTCAGTGCCACACCTGCCTGTCTGCCCCCAGCTCAGGGCACAGATGCCCCAGTGGCTGGCCCCTGAGACAGAGCCACCCTCTGTAAATAAAAACTCTTGAAGTGAAAGGTGTGCCCCGTGTACACGGCAGCATTGTCCAAACGCAAGGACAGGCGGCGGCACCAGGCCGCCATCCACAGGGGAACTGCGCACCCTCAGACCCACAGGAGGAATGGCTTGCCTGGCCGGCTGGGAGGGGCCCTTGGTGTTGAAAGGGACTGCATCCCATTGGGGAGGGAGCAGGGGGGTGGTGGCTCTGCAGCCCTGTGCATGTGCATGACATCAAGTCGTTTGCTTAGAAATGGGGAAAGTGGTACATTTTATGTTATGTATCACAACTTACAAAAGACGATATATGTATTCGAAATTGGGAAGGGGGAAGCTTCTTCTTAAGCCTTTATGATATTTAATCTGGAAATCTCACTCCAGGGAATCATTTGAAGGAAAGAAAATACAGATATGGAAAAAGCCTCTGATCTGGGCTGTGGGTGGCAGTGTTATTGCTGGCACTAACCTAAACATGCAGCTGTTGGGGATTAGCCTCATACTTGGAGTCCTAAACAGAACAAGAGGCTAGGTTCTCACTTGCCCCAGCGGCAGGCAAGTGTCTTGGTCTCAGTACCCCTGTGACTCATGATATTTTTTGAGGATCCAAACAAATTTGTTATGTGGTTTATAACCCTCAATATTCACGGTACTAAATATTAAAGTGGATTTTAATAAACCCCAGAACTCACAGCCCAGTGGCTATCAGGAGCTCTCGGAGAGCCTTGCTGAACACCGTCGCAGCGAGAGAGAAGAATGCAAAGGAAAAGTCCTATCTCCATGTACTTCCCAGATAATGAGGCCTATGGATCTCCCAGGATGGTCTCAGGAACCCCAAAGAACCCCACTTTGAGAAATGCCCCCCTTTTTTGTATCAGGGATTGAACCCAAGGGTGCTTAACCACTGAGTCACATCCTCAGCCCTTTTTATTTTTTTTATTTTGAGACAGGGTCTCGCTGAGTTGCTAAGGACCTCACTGAGTTCCTGAGTCTGGCTTTGAATCTCCTGTTCCAGCCTTCCACGCTGCTGGGAGTACAGGTGTGTGCCACTGTACCTGGCGAGAATTTTAACAGCTGAGTTATGTGCCATGTATTTAGCCAATCTCCTACCGTTAGACACTCAGTTATTTCTGGTTTTCTGATTTTATTTAACTTGGGTGTTGCCTTTGTTTTTCGGCAACTTGTACATCCTGGCTGGGAAAGGGATGGTGATTCAAAGGGTGAACAGACTTTATCATGTGTCTAATGTTGCCCAATACCCCTCCAAAAAGCTCACCCCAATTTCCTTTAACCATGAGATTTTATGAATCACTTGAATGTTTGAACCATCTGCAGGTGTAAAGTTGTATCTCACTTTGTAAAACAGAGTATAACTGAGAGGGCCCTTGGGATTTCTGACCTTTGATATTTTCTATTCTATTAATTTTAGAATTTTTTTCTTTCATTTCTCCTTTTTTTTTTTTTTTTTTTTTTGCGATTCTGGGGACTGAATCCAGGGATGCTCTACCGCTGAGCTTTCATGTTATTTGGAGACAGGGTCTCACTGAGTTGTATGGGTGGTCTTGAACTTTCCGCACTCCTGCCAGTCTCCCGGTGGCCGCGATGACAGGCCTGAGCTGTCACACCCACCTACATGACTTTTTCTTTTTTCTTTCCTCCTTTTTTCTTACTTTCTTTTCTTTCTTTCTCCGTCCCCGACCCCCCAATGCTGGGGATGGACCCAGGGCTCCTGCAGGCTGGGCACATGCTGTCCAGCTGAGCCCCAGCCCTCTAATTCGTTTGCTATTGACAGAGAAAGCTGTGGTGCCCCAGAGCTGACGCGCGGGCTGGGGACGTGGTCAGTGGTAGAGCACTTGCCTGGCACATGTGAGGCCCTGGGTTTGGTCCCCAGCACGACAAATCAGGACAAAGAAGCAAGCAAGCTAAAACTGCACACATCAAGACCCCCCTGGGTCCAGAGCACGGCTGCCCGACAGCTCCCGCTGTGTGCACCCACTGGAGTCTTTCACCTTTGGACTTCCTCCAGACCCAGATGTGAACCCCAGGACGGTTCCCACTGAGACCCTGCTCTGGGCAGGAGGCTGAGAGGCCACCGGCTAAACGGGAAGAACAGTGTGACAGTGTGCAACCTCATGGGGACAAGGACCCAGGATGACAGCTCAATCGCAGCAGGTGCTTTGTGAGTCCTGGGAGTTCTGTCCCTCTCTGGACCTCACTGTCCACTCAAAGTAGACAAACCTAGATGACCCAGCCTTGGTCCAACAGCTATGCCGGGGCTGGATGAGGCTCCCAGACAAGGCTTAGGGGACACTCACCTAGCTCATTCATGGCACGGCGGTATTCCTCATCAAAAGACAGCTTCATCACCGCACAGGTGGCCTGGCAGATCTGAGGCTCGATGGGGACAGGGGCTGTAGAGGAGGGAGGGGTCAGAGAAACGCCCCCAGGTGACCCCTGAAGGTGCCCACATGCCTGCAAGAATCCTGGGAGCTGGGCAAGCTGGACACGCTGGGCGCTGCCAGAGCAGCAGTCCCTTTGGCCTCCACTCTCAAGTGCTGAGGAGGTCGCCCAGGCCTTGCATAGGAAGATGGATATGCCCGGCGCTCGCCACACGTTTTAGCTGCGCCTTTGTCCTATGCTGTCCTATCAGCTGCAGAAAATAGCAATCAAAATGTGCCCCTGACCTGGGGGATTATCCACCCTCCGCCCGCTTGGCGTCTCCATCCAGAGTCCAAGTCTTCTTTAACAAATTGTAACAGGCCCCTTAAGGCAGAGCATGCGTCAAGAAGGGCCCTGGCCAGTGGTTCCGTGTTGGAAACCCCAGGGCGCACACTCACTGCTGCCGGGGCCGCCTCCCTCGGGCGCCGTGTCCGGCGCCTGCAGCCAGTCCCAGCAGGTCTCGCAGTAGGCCCGGATCTGCTCCAGCACGTGCAGGACGCGCATCTCCTTGCGCGCCAGGCCCTGGTCCGGCTGTGAGAAGACGATGTTGTGCAGCGCGGCATTGGCTCGCATGCGTGCGTCCTTGGCACCCAGCGCCCCAGGGGTCCCGCTGTGACCCCCAGACGCTGCCTCGGTGCCATGGAGGATCTGCAGGAGCAGCGGCAGGCAGCCTGAGCGGCGCATGGCCACGCAGCTCTCAGGCGAGCTGGACATGGCCAGCAGCGTTCGAGCTGTGTCCTCCTGGTCGCGGGTCGCCAGCATGGACAGCAGCCAGAAGACCACCTCCACCTAGGGTGAGGACCGGGCAAGGGTAGCGTCATGGTGGAGATCCAGTTGCCTCCCGCACCCCAGACAGTCCACTTGTCCACTCTGCTGTATGACTCCCCTGAAGAAGCTGGAGTCCTGGGACCCCGGCCAGGGGCACTGCTGGCAAAGCCACATTCCTCCCCTGCAGGCACCCAAACACGACCTTGGGTGTAGCTGGACGACATGCGGGGCACACACATTCTGCCGAGATGTCCTTGGTCCAGGAGAGCCAATGCCCACCCCACGGGCCTCCCTGGGCAGTCTTGCCCCCACCTCAACAGGCCTGCAGCACACATGCTGCCCTCCAGCTTCACCTCCAGTGCCACTTCGGAGCCACCCTCCCGACTCTACCAGAGGGATGGATGGACACGGGGAGGGCTCCACCTGCTGGGTCCACCTCACCCCAACTGGCTGCCCACCCCTCTGGTCTCCTCTTCCGACTCACCTTGCTGTTGCCTGGCTGAGGGTTGCCGTCCTCAGGGTGCGTGGGGACCTCCGTGTCTGGGTCCTCCTCCACTGGCACTGACTTCACTGCCAGCAACGCCTGCAGGGAGCACACCAGGCCGGGGTTCAGCCTGGGTGCCCCCCACAAAGCCCCAGTCTGCTGATGCTGTCTTCTGCCCCATGATAATGTGGGTGGGGGTGCAGACTGATTCCTCTGCTCCAGAAAGGTGCTGGGGGTCCCGAGGCAGCCTGGAGCCCCGCCACCCGCTGGACCCCGGCTGCTCTCCTCTGGTACCTGGGGCTCCGTCTGCTGCACCCGGTCCTGTGCCTCCAGCAACTCCCTGTCAATCTGCTCCAGGCGTGAAGCGCGGATCTGCAGGGGAGGAGAGAACACGCTGCCACCGGCACACAGGGCGACCCCGCCTCCAGCCCTGATGCCGCCTTCTCCCTGGCAGGACCCTGACCCTGACTCCGCCTCCTGAGCCAGACCCCGCCCTCAGAAGTCCGTGCTGGGGTTCCTCCTCTGGCAGCCCCGCCCACTCATCTCTGCCCCGGATCCGCCCGCCGGCAGGTGGCCCGGCCGCACCTGCGCGCGCTGCACCATCTCGTCCGAGGTGCCAAAGCGCTCCTCCATCAGGGAGCGGATGTGCTGCGCCTCGAACTCCAGCTGCTGCCGGATCAGGTCCATCTGCATCGAGAACTGCTGGGAAGGGTGGGCGGGCTGCCGTGAGGGGTGCCCGAGCCAGGCCTCCCCCTGCCGGCCCGCTCCGGGTGGCCCTCACCCCAGCCCCGCTCACCGTCTCCACGTGCGGCAGCTCGTCCAGGCGCTTGGACAGGCCCTGCAGCTGTGAGTAATACCAGAGCTTCTCCTTCTCCTCCTTCTCGATCTCGCTCAGCAGGAAGCACCTGGGGGCGGTTGGCAGAGGGGGCTGCCGCTGTACTTGAGGTGTTTCTTTTAACTTCTTAACAAATCTTTAAATTTTTTTTTAGTTATACATGGACACAAATTGAGTTTATTTATTCTTACGTGGTGCTGAGGATCGAACCCAGGGCCTCGCATGTGCCAGGCAAGCGCTCTGCACTTGGCCCGGCCCCAGCCCCAGCCCCGTTTCTTTTGATTTTATCATCACTTCTTGGGCACTAAGATTAAGGCAGTATGGCAAAATCTCCCGAGGGGCTCCCAGGACTGGGTTGGGGTGCAGAAAACTGGCTAAGAGGAGAGAAGGCAAGTCCTCTCTAGACTCCTGGCCTTGGGGACACGGCTGGGGCTGCCTGGGGCTGGGGCTCTGCACCTCTCAGATGCTTGCTAATCTCCCTCCAGTTCCCATTTTACAGGGAAGTCTGCAGCTGGGCGGGCTGGGGGCTCTGAGCTCATCTGAAGGCTGCTCGGACAGTGCCCTACCTGACTCCCCCAACCCAGCGAGGCCAGCTGGGCCTGGGCCCAGCTTTCTTGGGCCACATCCCTCTTTCTACAAGGACTGCCTTGACGCACCCTGGCTGCAGGCCTGATTCTGAGCCCTGGCATTGGACACATTGGTCCCTAGAGATGCCTGACTGTCGGGGACCCTGGGGGCATCTGCCAGGAGTCCCACAGCCTCTGCCCTCCCACCCAGGTCAGCTGGGCTGCAGGAGTGACTCTGAGGAGGCCAGGTACAGAAGCCGTGGGGCTCTGCAGGTGGGGCAGTGGACAGAGGGTTGGCGGTGCCCAGGCCAGATTCCCGCAGCCTCTCACCGCTCCCGGTCCAGTTCCTCCAGCAACCTGATGGTGGCGCGGCTGAGCTCCCCGAAGCTGTCCTTGGATGGCCCAGAGCCGTGGACCGGGCTTCCCTCTGGGGTCCGGGCAGTGGGCTCCGGGCCCAAGGCAGGTGGCTGGAACTTGAGGTTGTACAAGCTGGCAATGTCCATTTGGAGAGCTGGGTGGGCAGGAGCACCAGGGCGAAGGTCAGAGCCCCTCCTGCCCCCAGCCCCAGCTCCCTGTGGGCGGGCCCAGCACCACCCTCACCTTTCAGCTGCTCCAGCACCTCGGTCTGCCCGGAGGACACCAGGACCCGGGCCTCCTGCTCCAGCTTCCCCTGCAGGCGCTTCAGGACCTCCTGCAGCAGGGACAACAGCCTTGGGCAGAGCGCCCACCCAGGCCACCCAGGCCCGCCTGCCTCCTGGCTCTAGTGCTCCTGCTCTTCCTGTGACCCAGCCCTGCCCTCCTTCCAGCCCCCACCTTCATGCCTGAGGTCTCCGTCTCCAGCTTGGACAGGTGGCTCGAGTTGTCCCGAAGTTCCTGCCTCAAGTGACTGTTCTCGGCCTTCAGGGCCTCCACCTGCCGCACCAGCTGCTCATAGGACGCCATCGAGCTGGTCATCTTCAGCTCCTGCAGCACCTGGGGCCACAGCATCAGAGGGCTCAGCCTCTGTGCCCTGTGGACAGCCCAAGAACTCAGCCCCTCCTACCCCTCCTACCATGGGGGTGTGGATCTCTGGTGGGAGGGGCTGTGCTGGGGCACCTGGGGGCACACACACAGGGTGAGAAGAGGAGAGGGAGGGCAGGGCCATTCCATGGGTGCTCAGACACCCAGAATACCTGCCCCTCCACTGCAGTCTTCTGGACACCTGTGCTGACAGCTAAGCAGATGGACAGATGGACACTGAAGGTGCTGATAGACTAAACCAGTAGATGGACTAGCCAGCCCGAGGCCACAAGCTCACAGACGCAGCCAGACAGGACTCTCCTCTGCAGAAATGCAGCCTGCCCAGAGGCTGATTGCCAGAGCGATAGGTGGACAGATTAGCTGGCCCAGCTGATGGACAGTAAGAATACCACGAAGGTCAATGAGCAATGCATAAGAGAGCCATAGGCAGGTGCTGGTGGGAGGCTTTTGCAGCCGGACCACAGGGCCAATTGGTTCCAGCCCTCCGTGACCTTTCCAAGGGTCTGGACCTGGACCCCTGCAGGCCACCCACCCCCCTCAGTGGTAGCTACCTCCCTGGCTGGGCACCCTCCCCTCTGCCCTTGGCCAGCCTCAGTGGCCCCAGAGTCCCTCCCCCTGGCTCTGCCACTGCCATCTGCTCCTTTCTGCCTCTGGCTGTCTTCCCCACGATGGTCTGGCCACCCCTCTCTGCCCAGTGCCCCCTCCTGCAGCTCCCTCTCCCTCTTTGTTCCCTTCCCATCAGCGCTCGCCTGCCCCTCCTTCCGCCTTTGTCTGAGGAGCACCAATGGCGATCCATCCCTTCCACCAGCTCCTCCTTGGAACCCCTCCCCTGCCAGCCGAGCCCCCGTCAGCTCTGCCTGCTGTGCCTGTGGCCCTGCCTGGCCATGCCTCTTCATTCTCCTTCCCTCCACCCCAGTCACCCTGGGTACAGCCGCCTGGACGAGGGGCCGGTGCCTCAGCCCCAGAAGAGAGCTGTGCTCAGGCGCCCAGCCTGCGGGGGGCCGACTGTGTGCCTGGCCATATTCTCTGACTTCTTCCTTGTCATGGTCCCACACCTTGGGGACCATTGTTAGGCTGTTCCCAGGGGAGACAGAAGCAGTGAGGCAGTGGGCAGGTGACTGCAGCCCAGACCCTGTCCCTGAAGTGCTTAGAAGTCCCAGCAGTGCCCGAGGCAGGACAAGACCCTGTTCCCTGTGAGGGGAGCCTGGGCTGATGCCAGGGTCAGGTGGGAGGGTCAGAGGGCAGAAGGGCCAGTTGGAATGGAGACAGCCAGGGATGACAGCCTCATCCTGCCGCCCAGCGCGACCCGGACTCATGGGGGTCAGCTGTGGACCAGCCTGGGCTGGCTCCAGCCACCATGCCATGACCAGCCGAGCGGAAGCCAGGAGCACAAAGCCTGGCACAGACCCTCGCACACCCTGGCCACACAGCCGGCTGCAGAGCTCCTCCTCACTCCAGCCTGGCCCTGCCCAGCTGGGCTATTGCCCCAGCCCCAGCACTCCTCTCACTCTGCCTCCCACCGTCCACTCCTGCACGTCCAGAGGGAGCTCTAGAAACCACAGACCCTAAGCCATCCCTCCTGGGCTCCCATAAGACCTTCACAAACACCAGGAGACACTCTACCTTCTTCCTTCACTTGCACACGTGCTTCCTGACTGCTGCCATCCCCAGGCACAACTTCCTCCAGGAAGCCCTCCTGCCTGCCCCTCTCCGCCAGGTTGTGTCAGTTGGCCTCCTTGGGGCCTGAGACCACCACAGGGAAACACCAGTAACTAGCGTGGATGCAACCTAGCCACCTTCAGGCCAGGGCCACAGAAGTGCAGAAGCTAGGCCCAAAGGGGCTCATCTCCCTTCTTTAATCCAAACCCCAAGAGAAAGGTGCGGCAACACCCCCAGGACACACAGCAGCCTGCTCAGACCCTTGCCCACCCTGGCATCTTGTCGTGGAGGGGGGGTCCGCTGTGAATCCCGTGAGTGGGTGTGCCGCTGCGCGCGCCTTTCTGGGACTCCACTTTCCCTCCAGCTCCCACTCGGGAGTAGGAGGTTTGAGTGTGCCCTGAAGGCCGGGCAGAGGGAGGGAAGGCTGGGGACTCCACGCCAGGCGGGATCGCGGAACCTGCCCTCCTCTGGAACACGCACCGCTTACTTGTAGCTGGGTTGGTGGGGCTCCTGGGCCTGGGGCCTCTCCCTTCGCACAGCTCCGCGGGCCCCGCCAGAAATCTGGGGCTGGGGTGGCCACAGGGCGTGGGCTCCGGGACAGGGGGGTCTCCGCAGCACGGTCAAGGGGCTCCCGGGCGGACAAAGCCTGATCCAGGCCTGGCCAGGCGGTGCCGCGGCTCCCAGCGCTGGGCTAGACCACCGCAAGCGGGGGAGGATGCGGGATGCGGGATGCAGGCGCAGCGGCCAATGGCAGCGCGGGAAGACGGGCTGATGCCATGGCAACAGCCAATGGCGGCCTGGGGCGGGGACCCGTGATGGCCGCGGGGCTTCGGGCCTCCACTCTGGCTCAGGGACTGCGTGTCGGAAGGGTGGGGTGGGTGATCCCTTCCCAAGGGAACGGGGCGTCCCGAGTACCAGGACTCCAGTGTCCCCCGCATTTCAGGGAGAAGCAGCCTCTCAAACCTCACAGCTGCTGGATTCGCAGAGTCTGAGTCAAGCACCAAAGCTTGGCCATTATATCAGAATCTTGGTGTGTGTGTTGGGGGCAGTGTCCTGGGACAGAGGCAGCAGCCAGCCCAGCCTCGTGCAGACGTGTACGGGCAGGATGGGGACCTCCGGCTGGAGCTCCCCCAGGGTCCTGGCTGGGTGGGGGCAGGACTGGGAATGGGCAGGTATGCTGAGGAATGCCTGGGGACTCCTCCCCATTCCTGTCTCCTCAGCAGAGTAGAGTGCAGGGTCTCCGTATGTCATCTTCTGGGATGGCCCCCTCTGCACATTTTTCCGTCGCTGTCTCTATCTTTCTATGTCTAAGGAGGCAGGAACCAGAGGTCCCAGTGGCCCCTCCCCAGCGGTGGCTGACCCTCAATGTGTCCCTGGAGGCTACTTGAGGGCTTAACACCTGAGCCAGACCTGCCACTTGAGCACAGTCCTTCCTAGTGCCAACACCGCTTACAGGAAAAGACGAGGCGGCTGGCACCAGAAGATGTGGATTTGGGGTGCCAGGTGGAACTACTGACCATGTCCCTCAGTTTTCTCCTCTATGAGGTCCCTCCTCTGCAGGGATCACAGGCAAGGAGAGAGGTCTGCACCTTTGCAGGCTGCAGCAACCAAGGGCACTGGGCAAATTCTGCTGTGAGCTGCTGAGTCTGAAGCCCCTGAGTACCCTACCCTGGGCCAGCAATGCCAGGAGCCAAGCAGGCCCAGGCCCAGGTGCATGGAGGCCTCCAGAGCTGAACACACCTGTCTCAGATAGTTGGACTTTGGCAGGGGCATGCACTGGGCAGAGGGGCTCTTTATGAAGGCTGAGTAGGTTGCCCTGAGCAGGGCCTTGGGCAAGAGTTGGCCAGCTTAAGGCAGGGGGAGGGTCATCCCAAGCTGGGGAAGATCAGTGCCCATTCAGGGGATGGTTAAGTGCTGTTGGAACCACAGAGTGGAGGGGTAATGGGGCCTGACCAGGGCCAGCCATGGAGGGTTGAGAGAGCGGGGAACCCCCTGGGTGACCATGGGAGACCCAGGAGCCCACAACAGAATGGGCTGGGCTGGAGCTGGGTGAGACCAGAACCAAGGCCCCTGGCTTAGCTCTGCTTCCTGCTCCTGCTGTGTCCTTGGATGTGTCTGTCTCTCTCTCCTTTTTCCAGGACTGAGGATTGAATCCAGGGACACTCTACCACTGAGCTACATCCCCAGCCCTTTAAAAAAAAAAAAAATATATATATATATATATATATATATATATATTTTTTTTTTTCCAAATCTTGAGATAGGGTTTTGCTAGGTTGTCTGGGCTGTCTGCTGCTTGTGACCCTCCTGCCTCAGCCTCCTGAGTTGTTAGGACTGCAGGTGTGCACCACTGTGCCAGCTCATGTCACTCTCTTGCCTGTGGGGGAAACAAGTCCCACCTCCTCTACCCTGTCTCAGAAGTCTCAGCTCCCCAAGGTTCTCTCAAGTAGAGGATGGTAGTGATGTCCAGTGGCCAGTCCCCTCCTGGTATATACTGGGAAACTAAGGCTGGGGCGAGGAATCAGTTGCTACTACAGTTCATGCAACCCTCCCTCGCCTCTTTGGGTGTGGCCAGGGCCTGGAAGACTGAGGGAATACAGGGGCTGACACTCCAAGGCAAGATGCTGTTGGACCGGAATCTTTAGAACACCCTCGCACAATGCTTGGCCCTATAGATCTTGAGCCACAGCCAGATGTGGGCATCGTTGGACACTTTAGAACCACAGGAGTCTTGGGGCCCCCACGGTCCCCAGGGATTTCAGGCCCAGCATCTGTGGGACCAGAGAAGGCCCCCTCCATTGCACAGTGGGTGGGACTGGTGGGACAGGCTTTCTCCATAGTGCTTGTAGGGTTGAGGGACATTTTCTCTCCACCCACCCGGGACCCCAGTCCAGGATATTGCAGGGGCTGCCTCAGCATGTCATGGGGCCTCTTGAGTCTGACCAGACTATCCCTGTCCCCTTGATGCCCAGTACTTCCCCCCATCTCCTCTGTGCCAGGAACTGAGGACAGGATGGCAAGTGGGGCCGAGGGAGGACATCAGCAAGCACAGGACAGGGCCCTGACCAGTGATGAGGAGCTGCCCTGGAGGAGGGCCAGCTGGTCAAGACGCCTCTGACACCGGACCTCACTGGTGGTCTGTTTCCCAGGGGCGAGCCCGCATCGCCTGCTTAGTCAGCACCGCGGATAGCTCCCCGGACTGTGTCCCCTGCCAGGGTCAGTGCCCGCACTCAGGGTCAGGCCTTGCTTGAGGCCTATGACCTTGGACTCATTGCTGTACCCCAGCCTCAGTTTCCCCTCAGATGGGGATGTTAAACCTTAGAACTCAGGTCACCACGGAGGCCGGCAAGCTCGGCCTGGTGGGATGGAATGTTCTAAACGTCAGCGTTGGTGAAGGCCCAAGTGGGCCCAAGTTGGGCGCCCAGAGGGGAAACTGAGGACTAGGGAGGTGCAGGGCGTGGCCAAGCCCCTCCATCCTGCGCCTGGCTGTCTCCATATCGCGCCCTCCCACCGCTGATGGGCCCTTCTCCGCGAGCGTGTGCGCGCAATGGGGAGGGGTCAGAGGGTCTTCCTGAGGCTGAGGGGCTGTCCCCCCCCCCGCCGCCCCACAAATCCTGCGCTTGCGCAGATCGGGGTTGGGGGTTCCCTGCAGTGCAAGGGAGGGGCTCCCTGCGGCGCGAACTCCACTGCGGTTTCCCTGACAACCGTCTCCTGGGTAACTGCGTGAGACCCCCGACCCATCAAGTCTGTGCTCTAGTCCATTAGCCCCTCGCTGCGGGACTGCGGTTCCGCAGGTCGGACCCCACCCTGGTCGCGCCCAGGACAGGACTCTCAAACCCGGCCCGGACCCCACACCCTACCTGGTCCCCGAAGAAGGATGAGTGCAGCAGGCTCAGGAGCCCCAGGAGCCCCATGGAGCCGTGGCTGTCTTGGACAGCGCGCACCCGCCCCTCGGCTGCAAGGTGGGGGAGGGGGCCGCGGCCGGGAGCCCTGCGCCTGCGCGAGGAAGGGCCTGGGAGGGGTCACTCAGAGGGGACAGGGCGGGGCTCCTCCGAAAGGCTGCGAAGGAGAGGGTCCAGTGAGCTCTGGGGATACCTCCTGAGGGTTGTCGGAGATCCTCCCAATGGAAGATGAGAGGATGGAGACCCTCCTGGGCAGAGGGCTGAGGGGCAGGGTCCAATGGGGCTGAGGAGCCCTTCAGGGTTGAGGGGGGCCAGGGACCTGGAGGGTTCAGGGAGGAGGGCTTCTATGGCGCCTGGAGGTCTCGGAAGGGGCAGAAGAAGGAGCCGACCAGTGGCTTTACTCTGTCCAGCCATGGACAATCGCCACACAAAAGCTTGGGCAGTCCAGAAATTCACCCAGGCCCTGACCAGCGCTCAAGCTCATTAGTCATTCAGCAAACAGTTGCTGTATCCAACTCTGCCAGGCTGGGAAAACCGGTGCTCGGTATAGAGAAACAGTCCCTTAACTGTTAAGCACCCACTGTGCCAGGTGAGTGGCCCACGCCTGTAATCTAATCGCAGCGTGCTGGGACAAACCAGGTGAAGTGCCCCGGAGGTCTGATCCCTGGTACCAAAAGGAAACAGAACCACCCCAGCTGCTGTGCGCAGTTCCCCTAAGTGCGATGAACAGAAGGGTAGACACCTGCCCAGGGAAGCTGGCAATGGACAAAGGGAGCACCCGGAGCAGAGCAGGAGTGGGGTGGGAGGGAAGGGTCCGGATGTCTAGGGAGGAAGGAGCACGCCTGGATGGCAGGGCTGGGAACGGAACCCAGGCCTCACCAGGCCTCCCACCGAGTGGAGGGAAGCAGGAGCAGGGTGCTGCACAAGCCAGGCTCCCATGAAGAGAAGGAAGGCAGGGAGGATGGGCACAGAGGGCACATCTCAGAACAGCACTCTTAGGAAAGCAACAAGTGCCCGACAAGCGGGACATGAGCAAGGACGGGCCTCTCAAGCAGTGCAAGGAGCCCTGCGAATAGCCTTCCAAGGCCATGCATGGAACCAGGTGAGAAGCTTCATGGGACTCCACATCGGAGCCCCACAGGAACAGTGCCTGACTGGGACCCAGGGCAGGGCTGCGAGGCTTCATCTGCCTGTGGCTCACTACCTGTGGCTGAGGTGTGCAGGTGGAGGGCTCTGGGCAGTAACATGCCTCCTTGTAACTAACAAAGGCTCCTTCCCACCCCCAGGAGCCTTGAAAGTACTCCTGCAGCAGGAACGCCACTTAGAGGGGCACAAGCTGACCCCCAGGCGTCCATCCTGTTTTTTGTATTCCTGTTAATTAGTTGCAAATTCTCATATGACCATTAAGTATGAAGGAAAAAATATGAATTTTCCAATTGATGCAACTACTTCTAACGAATAAATCTGTTTGCTCTAAATGCAAGGATCCAGCTGGAACATAAATTGTTAATGTTTAATGAGAAACCCCCTGTAGAAAAAACAAGGAAGTTTTTAGTGCTTGGTACTGGGCAACTTGTTCTTGTACCTGTGCACAATGGTTTGGTGCTCTTACTCTTGTTTGATTAAAATTAGAAGCCTCTCTTTTCAAGGTAACCACTTGCTATATCTGTGGCGCCGCTTTTAGTAAGTCAAGAAAGAATAGTCAAGGTGTAGGCCAATAGTCTGGGACATTTCTAACTATTATTAAAAGCTAACTAAGCAGAAACAGCTCAAAGCAAAACCCAAACTTAAAAATGCTTGCTTATGAATAAGCCAAGATACATTCTTATCTAATTGTAGCTACGTAATACTTTGAATCAGGATTCCTATTTTGTAACCACAAAATATTCTGAGCCTGCCAAAAAGAAAAGTACATGATTAACTTCACAAGATGGGGATTCAGCACCTTCACTCTTGCGTTGTTTCTCCGCCCCCTTTCACCAACTCCTCACCATCCCTGTCATCCCTGTCTCCTGGTGCAGTGAAGTGCAGCTGTGCCCATGGCCCACCGACTCCACAGGGAGCCCCTGGACCTGTTGCCACCTTGCTGCCGCGCCCCCCCCCCTTAGGGGCAGAATGCATAAGCAGCCCATCCATGCGGCAGACACCTTTGTTCCTGCAGCCTAGTGGCTCAAAAGCTCTGGCCCCCAAAAAGCCTTCAAGGAGAGCGGCTGAGTGGTAGGACATTTGCCCAGCAGGTACAGGACCTGGGCTGGATCCCAGAAGCACACAATGCCAACCAGCTTCCACAAAAACATGCTGAAGCAGGATCTCCTACCTACCCTACCACTCTGGTGTGAAAATGGGGGCTGGGATCAGTGGCAGAGTGTTCACCTAGCACATGGGGGGTCCTGGTTCCAATCCTCAGCACCACATAATGAAATAAAAATAATGTGTCTAACCCCAACTAAAAAATGTTTAAAAAAAGGGTTATTTCTAACATTTTCGCCATTTCATTAAAAAAAAAAAAAATCAGTGCTAGGTATAGTGGCCTGCAGTCCCAGAAATTTAGGAGGCTTAGGCAGGAGTATCATAAGCCTAAAATGAGACTGGTGCAGGGCTGGGGATGTGGCTCAAGTGATAACACACTTGCATGGCGTGTGTGGGTAGCACCACATAAAAATAAAGATGTTGTGTCCGCTGAAAAATGAAAAATATTAAAAAAAAATTCTCTTGGAAAAAGAAAAAAAAGACTGGTGCAGTGATAAAGCATCCCTGGGTTCAATCCCAGTACCAAAAAACTAAACCTCTAAGATACTGAAATATTAAAAAAAAAAAAACCCTCCACACCCCTTTTCTTAGGGAGCCCGAAGTAGATGAGTGAAGCTGGATCAAATGACGGTTTCCACTTCAGCAAGGCCTTCCTTGCTTGTGGCCAGTGTGCTGGCAGATGGGAGTGTACTCTTGGTCCCTATGAAGCCCAGTGAGGGGGGTGCAAGAGCATTTTCAAATGTTGAGTCTGTCTTGCAAACAGCAGCAGGAAATGCGGACAAGGCAGAGGTGGTTGAGTGGCCTTCGCCACCTGGATGGTTCTGGCCTCCTACCCACTGCCCTTTGGAGTCCGCCCAAGTCGTAGGCCTGGCTAACTGGCCACCTGAACTGTTCTGCAGGACACTTTCGAGGAATCAAGGCCACTATATCCTCCTACCTACTTTCTCACCTCCTGCTTGCTTAGGGTAAGGTCTGAGCATCCTTCACTCTCCACAGCACCCATCACAGGGCACCCACCAGCCCAGCTTAGAGGCCCCGCCACAGCCCTGACTGTCCCCGCTCCCCCTACGACCCATTTTTTTGAGCATGGCTGGGGCCCGACAAGGGATGGTGTGATCCTAGTCTGACCTGGGCCATCAGAGGGGCAGACAATAGCACGATGAGCACCCACCAAGAACCATCTGAGGACTCTGGGCAAATTTAGGCGGTTAGGAGGGCATGAGGTCCTGCTGCTCACCTGCAGAGCTTCCTCCCAGGTGGAGAGGCTGAGTCTGGCTGGGACAGCTGCCAATCAGCACTCCTACCCTCCTTGGCCCTGAGGTGATGGCCCAGGTGGAGTGAGCAGGGCTACCCTCGTTAGGAGCCACTGACGGAAACCAGGGGCCCACGCTGTCCATACCCACCCAGTCCTTTATATCCAACCCAAAGCACATCACAAATCTGCACCAGCTCAGGCCCCTTCTGGGAAGTAGCCTCCCCCAACCCCCGGCACCACAAGGATGAGCGGCACTTGCACAGGAGCTGTGTGCCTTTATTGCCCAGGCAGGCTACTTGAGGGGGATGAAGCGGGACGAATGGGTGGCCCCAATGCCAGGCCGGCCGTGCTTCACGGGCTTGTAGGTGATGGAGAACTCGCCCAGGTAGTGGCCGATCATCTCGGGCTGTGGAGGTCAAGAGCAGGGGGTCAGGGTGTGTGGGCAGACAGCGCATCAGTCGCACCCAGACCCAGGGCACACCATACACACCTTGATCTCCACCTGGTTGAAGGACTTGCCGTTGTAGACGCCAACCATGCTGCCCACCATTTCAGGCAGAATTATCATGTCCCGCAGGTGTGTCTTCACCACCTCTGGCTTCTCCATCGGGGGCGCCTCCTTTTTGGCCTTGCGCAGGCGCTTCAGCAGCGAGTGCTGCTTCCGCCGCAGGCCGCGGTTCAGCCGCCGCCGCTGGCGTGCGCTGTACAGCTGCATCAGCTGCTCGCTGCGGGGGACAAGGCGGCGGGTGGGTGGCCTGCCCCGCCACACAGCTGCCCGGGGCTGCACGCCCCTCCTCTGTCCCCTACAGCGCAAGGACAGCAGGGACATACCCAGGCCAGGCCCCGGAGCAGCCTGCCCTTCCCTGCGGCGAATTCCTCTAGTTCAGGGTCCACTGCACCAAGCGGTCTAGGGAACACCGGGCGGGGGAAGGCGGCCTGGCTGGGAACACCGGGCCCTCGGAGCCCTGGGCACGCAGCCACGGCCCACGCCCACCCGGGCCCTCTACATCAGAGGCATCCCCGGCCGGCTCCTTACTAGGACATGTCCAGCAGCTGGTCGAGGTCCACGCCGCGGTAGGTGAACTTGCGGAAGGTCCGCTTCTTCTTCTGCTCCACTTCCGCCTGCGCGGGCGCGGACGGGGTGAGTAGGGGCTCGAGACCTACCCCACGGCCCCACGAACGCGCTCACAGGGCGTCCGGCCCCGGTACGGAAGCCCGCGGGCACACGTTGGACCCGGGTCACCGGGGCTAAGCCGAGAAATGCGGGCCCGGGGCCTTCCGCGCCCCGAGTGGTCCTCACACACCAGGACCGTCCCGCGCCCCCACCCGCAGCCCCGGAGGCTTGGAGCAGGCCGTCACAGCGCGGGGCCACACCCCGGCCCCCGCGGGACGGCAGGAGGCCGGATGGAGTTGGATAGGGACCCACAGGGGCCGAGACGAGCACCACTCACCATCTTGCCGGCTCTGCGGAAAAGACCGCCCCGCCCCGCGCCCGCGAAGTTATCGCGAGGCCGCCTCGGGCCCCGCCCCTTGGCCGTGCGCGCATTTCCGCCTTCCCGCGGCAGAGGCTGCCCCCTGCCGTCCGGAGGGCAGAACACCGGCTATGGGTATCAAAGGGGCCGCCGCCTGGGGCTGGAGTTGCCCTTTCCAAAAGGCTGGTCTTGTTTGAACCTCAGGTGCGTGCTCTGTAATCAACGCCATAGGATCCATCTCAAAAGAATGCAGCGCCTACTGTTTGTGAACAGGTGTGATTTAGAGGTTCAGGGCCCTGTGGCAGGAGGCACAGGCATGGACATGGTACCTGTCAGTTGAGAGAAGAAGAGATTGGCTCTTGCCTCCCTGAAAGAAACCACTCAGGCTTTAATTAACATGTTCTTGGATGCCTGTTGTTGCCACTACTGGGGAGGTCCAGGCTTGAGGCCCAGGAATTGGAGACTGAAGAAAGGAAGTGGGGATGGAGGGAGAAAGGCACAAAATAAGGGGAGGAGAGAATAGAGATAAGCAGGAACAATGTTTCTGTCTTGCTGGATTTTTTTTTTTTCAAACGGGGGGGGGGGGTTAAACCCAGGTGTGCTTAACCATTGAGCCATACCCCTAGCTACTTTTAAAATATTTTATCTAGAGAAAGAGTCTCGCAGAGTTGCTTAAGGCCTCCTTAAACTGCTGAGGCTGGCTTCGAACTCCCAATCCTCCTGCCTCAGCCCCCCAAACAGCTGGGATTACAGGTGTGTACCACCATCCCTGGCTTTCACTGGAATTGCTATTGTGAATTTTTTGGTACTGGGATTGAACCCAAAGGTGCTCTGACCATTAGCCACATCGCCAGCCCCTTGTATGTATGTGTTATGTTATTTTGGTATTTGGGGTTGAACCTAGGGGTACTTTACCACTGGGCTACATCTCCAGTTCTTTTTACTTTTTGAAACAGGGTCTTGCAAAAATAGGCCTGGCCTTGAATGTGATTCTCCTTCCTCAGCCTGCCGGGTTGCTGAGATTACAGGTATGGCCACCAGGCCTGGCTTGTTAATGTGCCTTTGGAGGCTGGGTATATTCCCAGAAGTATCAGATTTGAACAGGTACTTATATGCCCTTGTTCACAGCAGCACACCACACCACATCCCAGATGTGGGAACGACCCAAGCTCCTGTAAGCAGTAAATGGATGGATGGACACACAGCATGGGATATGCTCACCTAGAGGGACACTTGGCCAGGAGCAGAAGCAAGGTGACACACTGCAGCGTGGATGGACCTCGAGAACCTTGTGCTCTGTGAGAACCAGAGACTAAAGGACACAGGGTATGGCTCCAGAACAGGAGAGCTCTGAGATGGGAGGTGTATCTGTGGATACAGGGCTGGGGGGGCACTGGGAAGTTGGTGTTCATGGAGAAAGTTTCAGTTTGAGAAGATGAGAAATTCTGGGGTATGGTGGTGACAGGTGTACAATGACAGGAATGTGGTCAATGCAACAGAACTGTGCCCCCAACATAGTTAAGGTGACGGGCTGGAGGTGTAGCATGAGGCTCTGATCTCTAGCACCACACACACACACACAAAGACAGTAAGTGTTATGTGTGCATTTTACTGATGGGGCAGGTGGGGGGGGTACTGGGGCTTGGTCCACGGACACTCTGTGAGACACATCCCCTAAATTTTTTAAACTTTTGAGACAGGGTCTTGCTGAGTTGCCCAGGCTTGTCTTGAACGTGTGATCCTTCTGCATCAGCCTCCCAAGTTGCTGGGATGACAGGCACGCATGTGTATGTGTATGTATCTACCTATATACCTCAGTGGTAAGCCCTGAGGATCCACTCAGTCAAAACCATGTGAGAGGAAGCATTAACTGAGGAAAACAAAAGGCCAAGGGAAATGGCAGGTGTGAATCCATTCCGGAGGCAGGCAGTCAGAACAACCTGGCTATAGCTCAAATGAGAGGCTGGTCTCCCCCATCTGACTCTATGGTGCCTGTTTCCCTGCCTTCACCGGAGCTTGGGGCAAGCTGGACCCTCTGTCCACTTGGTACTGGTTTTTGTGGCCAGCAGCCAGCAAAGGTCAGGATACAGGTTGGGCTTGACAGAAGGCACTGCCTACAGCAGTCAAGGCAAGGAGCCAGGAGTCCAGCAGTCCCCAGCTTCAGCCACAGATCACGTGTGTGGAGGAAGGTGCCCGCTCCAGGCCTGTGGCTGGGTTCTCCGCCTACACAAACCTCCCAGAGCCCTGGCTGGTTAAGCCTGCAGCTCTGCCCATGGGGGCAGGGGATGCAACTACACGGGAGCACAGGGCCTGTCTGGGGACAGCAGAAGCTGCACTGTCACCTTCAGATATTTTTTTTGTGCCACCGTGGAGCTTTTTTGGCTGGGAAGAAACCTGTTGACTTTTTTTTTGCAATTGTAGATGGACAGAATGCCTTTATTTCTATGTGGTGCTGAGGATTGAACCCAATGCCTTAGGCTTGCATGCACTCTGCCACTGAGCCATGACCCTGCCTGAAACCTCTTGACTTTCTGCACATCACTTCCTTGTTAAGGGACTTGAATTTTGCAGGAATTCAATGGAAGGCGCTCGCACATGTGATTACAAGTGGTGTAGACGGAGGGCCATTCAGAAGCTGGTCCCCAGGTTCGTGGAGGGGCTGGCTCAGTGGGCAGCTGCCCTAGAGGGCTCAGGGTTACTCCAAGCCAAGCTGAGCTTTCCCTGCCTGCAAAAACCGAGTTGGGGATGAGGGCTTCTGGCGGTCTCAGTCATTTTTGTTGGTACCCAGTGTATTTGGATTTTTTTCCCCACTGATACGGGGGATTGAACACAGGGACACTGTACAACTGAGCCACATCCCCAGCCCATTGTTTTACTGAGACAAGGCTGGCTCTGAACTTCTGCTTCAGTCTCCTGAGTCACTGGGATGACAGGCATGGGCCATCATATCTCAGCTAGCCTTGTTACATAGGCACCCCCCTCATCCTTAGCCAGAACTAATGGACGTCAATTGCCATGGCCAGAGACAGGATACAACAAAACTCAAGGCAGGGAGATGGCTCCAGACCTAAGCTGCAGCCCCAGGCTCCTGGTGTGAGGCAGGTGCCAGGTGCCTCACAACCCACAGCCCAGGGACATCTGTAGTCACATCTGCCAGAACCCACAGGGCCCAAGGCCCACACCAGAATAATAGATCCCTGCGTCAGGCCTCTTTGCCCCCCAAGTCCACAAGGAGGCCAGAAGCTGGGGCCCAGGCCAAGGGCTCGTCTGGGCTCCAGATCTTTCCCGGATAGGGAAGGAGGCGCAGGCGATGGAGAAAGAAAGCACACGACCTGGGTTTCTAATCCAAACGCACTTCTCTTTATTCAAACCAGGGTCAAACTGGTCAGTGGGAAACACCCTAAAGCCATGTGCCAAGGAGGTGGGCTTCCAGCAAGACCGTGCCTGCTGCACAGGGTCCAGGCTGCAGAAGTCAGTGCTGCCACACGGCCAGCCAAGAGTGACCCACCTCCACAGCGCACTGCAGATGCTACCAGGCAGGCCGGCCGACAAAAGCAAGGAGTAAACAAAAAACAAAACACACTCAGTAGATTTCTTTAGCTCCCAGAGTTTCTGGACCAACACGTCCCAACCCCCAAGCCAGGAGCGAGGGGACCTAAAAACACCCCCCTCCCACCAGTGCCGACCGAACCCTGTTTTTAAATTAAAAAATAAGCCAGTATACATCGTAGAAAATTTTCTCTTAAAAATCTCACAATTTGTAAATGTATATTTTTTCTTTAACATAAAAGTTTACAATATACGGTAAAACAAAAGGCTCAGGAAAATAATTTCAAAAAAAAAAAAAAAAACAAAACAAAAAAAAAAGAAGAAAAAGAAACCTGAAGTTTTTAATTAAAGCTGAAGACATTTTTTTAAACCCTGTTGTTGAACCAGTGACTTTTTTTTTATTGTGCTGATGGGTAAGAGAAAGAAATATATTTAAAAACTTCAGTCCAGTCACCCACAGCCAGCTCCGAAGCCTCTGCCCTCCCCCCTCCCCCCCAGGTTGTGATTGTCACAGTCCACGAGTCTCCAATCCTGGTCTCGGCCGGGGCGGGTTGTGTGGCGCTGCGGTTAGCGTCGGTAGGGGTGGAATCCTTGCACGTTGTGGTTCTGACCTCGCCCAAAGCCACTGCCCCCGACCCTGGCACTGAGGGGCCCCCGTAGGAAGGGGGCTGCTGGCTGGGGTCGGAGAAGCCCTGTCCAAAGCCGCTCAAGTCCTGCCCGTAACCTGCTGGGGGAGAGAGGGTGTCAGCTCAAGATGCACAGCCCAGCCTGCTTGCTCTGCTTCTGAGCAACTCTGCTCCATTTTCTGAGGAAGGGTGATGATGTCTGGGCCTTGGAGCCCACGGGCACCAGTGGGGACTTGACCCAGGTGGGGCCACCCCGGCAGGGACCCAAAACCTGGGAATTTTTATCTTTCAAGACCACGTGAGCAGGACCCACACAAGAGAGAAAAGCAGCTTTCAGATCCTTCGTGGGTCTGGTGATCCGCCCCATTTCTACCTTGGCCTCATCCCCACATAGCTGGAAGTCAGGGGACAGGTGTGTGTCTAACTGGTTTGGGACACACCTGGACACCCAGGACTACTACAATTTGCTTACACATGCTGCACATGGTCTCCGGGACTTAAAACACAGGATAGGCCTATGGTGCAGAGCATAGCCCTCACCCCCCTCATGGTAACCCTCACCACACCTGTGAGGCTGTCCCCACATCCCACGCCCACACGGTCCTCCCTTCAGGACAGCCAGGAGCTCCAAGCTACAGACTAACTTGGCAGTGTTTAAGCCTCAACAAGAGTCAGACACACCTACACTATTGGCCTCAGGGGTGTAGGAGGTTCTTCTGGGAAAAGGGATGCACACCGTCCTCAAGCGGACAGAGATGGGCCCTGCTCCTGCCCACCCCACCACAAACTTTGAAGACCCATCCAGGCCCTCTGGGTTCCCAAACAGGGGTGCACATGGACACAGGTGGGCCCTCTGGCTCTGGGTGCTCCTGGGGCCAGCTGTGGTCAGTTGAGATCCTCAAACTGGCAAGGGGCCCATCCCAGAGGGCACCTCCAAGTATCCACCCCCGCCCAGGATGGCAAAGGAAGCCATGTCTGCTTCCCAGGTGCAGGCAGGTGGGAGGACCGTGTAGAAAGAGGCGGCACCTACCTAGGCCACATCACTGCTCAGCCTGACCATAAGAGTGTAAACAAAGAATAGGCCCGAAGCCCGACAGGTCTCGAGAATAGGTACCCAGGCCTGGCGAGAGACGAGACCAGGGTGACTAACCCACTGCGGCCAGGCAAGGAGCGAGCGGCAGACACGCACACTTGCACACCCCGCGGGCGCTTTGTGCTCCCCCTGCAGCTGTGACACATCAGGGCCTTGTGGTGGGCCAAGAACCAGCACTGGCGGGGGGTGGGGTGTGTGGGGGGGTGTGAGGCAGGCCAGGGCCTGGGCCCTCCAGAGTCATTCAAGATGGGCCAGTGCCTCAGACAAGACGGCTCTGGCTCAGTCCAGGCTGAGAGAAGCAGGGCTGGAGGGAGCACCTTTTCAGGTGCCCTAGAAGCCAGGGCCTGCCTTCCTCAGGATGTGAGCTTAGACACCTTGGGACAGGGAGGCCCACATTCTTGGGATCCAACCATGCAAATGTCCCTTGAGGAGCCAATAATGAGCAGAGCTCCCTCCACAAGGGTCATGGTACCAAACAAGACTGGTCTTGGCAATGAGCTTATGCAGGGTGAGAGTGAGAAAAGCACAGACCAAGTCCTGTCTTGACCTAGTGTCCTCCCTGAAGCCACCCACAGGAGTGACAAGCCGTGGAGTCCACCACAATGCCTCTGTCTAAGCCAGGGCTTGCTATTGACTCAAGCCTGCTCCTGGAATGGGGTCTGGCCTGCAGGGTACCTAATGACACACCAGAAACAAGTAATCATGGGGCAGAGGGCCTGGATAGCCCTGACTAATGACCTCTAGCAAGGACACAGGAGAGCCTCAAGCCTGGACAATGATCACAACATCCACACCATCTTTCTGTGACCCCAGGAGGCACCTCCCCCTGACCCAGTCACAGCCTCTGGTTGCCAAAAGTACAGGCCCTGGCCGCCTGCTGTGGGACCACCACCTTTCTTGACAGGTTCCCCCCTAAGTTCCGCTAGGCCCCCGTTGCTGCCACCAGTTTTCCAGCAGCCTCTGCACACTGGCTATCTGCCCTGCTGCTGCTTCCTCCAGAGTGTGCTGGTGGGAAACACATGGAGGGAAGAAGACCGGCACAGGGCTGGGGGGACGTGCAGACCACTCACCATACTGACTGTAGGGGAAGTCTGGCTGGGCTGCTGGAGGTTTGCTCATGTCTGGGGCGGCCTGAGATGGAGGTGGTGGGAAAGCCAGTGGAGCTGCCCCAGGAGTGGCAGGAGGAGGAGGGACCCCAGGAGGGGCAAACTGATCCGGTGGTGGAGGTGGAGGCCCATAGCCAAAACCTGCAGACAGAGGAGAGAGCAAGGCACAAGACACGGGGTAAGGCCACAGGGTCAGCTGGATGGAGACCCACAGACCAGCCCCACAGGAGCTGCAAGATGGGATTTCCATCTAAAACCTACAGAAGGGACTATGGATCCTTGCTCCTGGGACATGACCCTAAGGAAACAATGACTGTCGAGGCGATATGGTATGACCACAGGACAGAATACTAGGCAGGAATCCAAGCAGCGAGGAATTCCACTGCAGATCTTTCTTTAGAAACAGCTGGACACAGCTTTGGGAAGGTAAGTCATCTGAGCTGTCTCAAAGGTAGGGGCCAATGGCAAGTTTTCAGAACAGAGCAAAGGGGTAGAAATGTGGCTCAGTGGTATAGTGCCTGCCTCACATGGACAAGGGCCTAGATCCAACCCTCAGAGCACCAAGAAAAAAAGGGAGAAGGGTACTAGAGAGGACTACCATCCCACACCCTGATGCTGGGCTTCAGACCACCCGATACTTCCTTTCTTTAATTTCTTGGTACCGGGAATTGAACGCAGAGGTATTCAACCACTGAGCCACAGCCCTAGCCTTTTTTTCCTTCCTGCTTTTTTTTTTTTTTTTTTTTGTGGTGCTGAGGATTGAACCCAGGGCCTTGTGCATACAAGGCAAGAACTCTACCAACTGAGCTATATCCCCAACCCTCCCCAGCCCTTTTTATGTTGAAACAAACCCTAAGTTGTGCAGGGTCTCGCTAATTTGCTGAGACTGGCCTTGAACTTGAGATCCTCCTGCCTCAGCTTCCCAAGCCACTGGGATTACAGGAGTGTGCTACCATGGCCAGTTTAGAATACCCAATTCCTGTCATTAAAAACAAGTTAAATTGGGCTGGGGATGTGGCTCAAGCGGTAGTGCGCTCGCCTGGCATGCGTGCGGCCCGGGTTCGATCCTCAGCACCACATACCAACAAAGATGTTGTGTCCGCCGAGAACTAAGAAAAAATAAATAAGTGTTAAAATTCTCTCTCTGCTCTCTCCCCTCTCTCACTCTCTCTTAAAAAAAAAATTAAAAAAAAAAAAGTTAAATTACTCTATATCAAGAATTGACAAATCTTTTTCCAACAGCTAAACTGTAGCATTGAACTATCCAACCTGGGACCTGGCCACATGTGGCCTCTGATTCCCCACAAGATGTGACTGGTCCAAACTGAAATATATCCCAAGTATGTAACACACCGTATAAAGGACTCAACACAAAAATCAGAATATAGAACATTCATGCTGGATGGCAGGGTCAGATAAGGTGACGTAATCTGAGAAATAGGTGCTAGAAAATCCAGTTGTCTAGGGGGCCTGAGTGCCCTTCTTTGGAAGGTGCCAAGTCACCATACCTAGAGAACATGAGCAAAGTGCTCTAACATTCTAGGCATAGCGACTGATTTTACACCTACATCTTTGATTTAAAAAGCCAAGTATATGGAAAAATCAATTAAGAACTAAAGTTTGGGGCTGGAGATGTGGCTCAAGTAGTAGCACGCTGGCCTGTCATGCGAGGCACTGGGTTCGATCCTCAGCACCACATAAAAATAAATATATTGTGTCCACCTAAAACAAACAAACAAAAAATAAAAACAAAAATAAAATAAAATAAAAAATAAAAGAAAGAAAGAACTAAAGTTTTATACCTCAAATACACCTCACTACTGTTTTTTTTTTTTTTAAACCAGGTATATGAACCCAGTGATGCTTTACCAATCAGCCACACCCCAGCCTTTTTAAAATTTTTTTTGAGGCAGAGTCTGGATAAATTGCTGAGGCTAGCTTTGAACTCACAATCTTCTTGCTTCAGCTTCCTGAGTTGCTGGGATTACAGGAATGTGTCACTGTGCCCAGCTTCCCTCACTTCTAAATAAAGAAGAATGGAGGAAGTCCAGACACCTCACCTCCCGAGAAATGAAGAATGAGAGCAAGGGTGCAAGGTGCAAGGCTCAGATTCTGCATGAACCTGAGCTCCGTCAGTGCCAGGAGTGGGTTCAAGGCAATTAGAAGCTACCTGTGCAGTCTCTGTGCTTCACACCCAAACAGGGACTGGGGGCAAGTGTCATGGTCAATGTCCACATGAAGCACAGGCCTAGTCAGCTCCAGCGCCAGCTCTGATGGGAGAGAGCCCTCCCGAGGGGGCCCAGCCAAAACTTACTGAACTGTGGTGGGGCACCATAGCCTTGTGGGAAGCCCTGAGGAGGGGGGAAGCCGCCAGGAGGGGTGGACACGATGTAGGAGGTGAACGGAGGGGGCGGTGGGGGGGCTCCTCTTCCCGCAGGGGGTGGTCCATAGCCACCTGGAACACACAATGCAGGGTGAAGGGCAAAGAGTGTCAGACACAAACCCCTGGCCACAGCCCAGACCCAGGCCTGCCAGGGCCTGTAGCGGGCCCCTCCCCTTCTTCCTCACCAGGAGAGGAAGTAAAAGAAATGATCTCAAGAGCCAGAGAGACACTGACAACGGCTTTACCGGCCATAGACAAGACCAGACGTGAGCTCTGAGAGTCGGCCTAGGATTTCGGATTCTGCTCTTTCCCTTTCTCTAAAATCAAGGACTCACCAATTGCCTGTCCTGCTGGCACCCACATTCCTAGACGAGAAAACAGAAGAGAAGGGTTGGTGCCGAGTCCTCCCAGTATTTTGATGCCAAGTAGTTGCCACCAGCAAGCGCCACCAACTGGGGCTGACCCCCGGCCCCACCTGAGGCTCAGAGCCCAGGGACATGGGTGGTACCAGGTGAAGCCTGTCTCTTGGGTCTTCAACACAGGCCCCTGATCAGTATGCCTCCCAAGTGCCTCTCCACTGGCACCCTACCACCTGGTGGCAGTCTCCTGACTGGGTACATGCCCCCATGGCCTCTGAGCCTTGGGGAACACAGGGACAGTCCCCATGGCAGTCTGCATGCCTGGGCATAAAAAAATGGTTTCCCTGGCTGGGGCTCAGTGGTAGAGCACACCCAAGGAGGCCTGGGTTCCATCCCCAGTACCACACATGTCTCTCTCTCTCTCTCTCTCTCTCTCTCTCTCTCTCTCTCTCTCTCACACACACACACACACACACACACACACAAGAAAAGAGAAAATAAAGAAAGAAAAAGAAAAGTGTGCCTATTCCATCTCATTTCCAACAGGGAGAATTCTCAAAGAAACCCTCAGGCTCAAGGTGTGGGGGAGACCACACAGAATCCTGATACCATGGCTCAGAGAACAAAGTCCCCCAGGCAGGCATGTGTAAGCTCACTTGCTCAACACCTCCTGTACACTATCGGTAGCACCAGCTACCAGTGGGCCCTGAAGTGGAGGGCACACAGCTTGGCGGAGGTGAGAGCAAATGCACAGACCCAAGTCTGGCAGGTTTTCATGGTGCCCCTGGAAGTGCTGCCCAACTGCCATATTGCAGGCAGCAGAGAACTCTTCACACCAAGTAGGCCACATCTGACCCTCTGACTGCCCACTCAGATCCACCACAGTCCTTCCTACACCCTTGCACATGGGCAACAAGACTAGGAATCTCAAAACAGATACTCCAAGGAAGGAAGACCCACTTGCCCAAACTGCAAGCAGCACCTAAGGCACAGTCAACCACACCACCGAGGGTTAGGAAGATGGCAGAGCCTTTTGTGCCCTCTGGACCATGACTATACCTATGCCTGCACCTCGGCAGGGCTTCTGAAACAGCTGCTCAGAACATGTGGCACTGACAGTGAGTGGGGTAGGGGGAGCTCTCCCACTTTGGCAAGGCCTGCCAGTGCCCAAAGAGTAATACTGCTCTCGTCCCGCAGCTCTGCCCATCAGGTAGTTGCATGAAGCCAAGGCCCAGGGGACCCATAGCCCTCCAAGCAACGTAACAGTAGCCAGTTGATCCTTGAGCCCAGGTCTGGTCCCTCCAGGGCCCTCAGAGCCTTACCTTGCGGGCCGTATCCTTGTTGCCACGTGGGCGGGGGCTGGCCTGCCCAGCCGTTCGCGGCATTGGGCACGACACGGCTCCCCCACTGGCTGGCACCTGGCTGTCCGGGCGCTTGGCTTTTGCTGTCCCGAGGCTCGGCCCGTTTAACTTCCACCTAAACAAACCAAGCTGTGGTTTAGGGAGAAGCTACAGCCCAGCGCCCCTTCCCTTTAGACACACCCTCAGTAACTTACAACTACACTTAGCATCTTACGACTTAAGACTAAGTACTTAACTATAAACCTTATTTAGGCCAGTACTTTTTTTTCTTAATTTTTTTTCCTTTTTAATTTTTTTTTTGTTTAAAAAAATGTTTCTCAGGTACAACAGATACAACTGTAAAGACAGCCTGTGCCCCACCCGCTATGAACAGCAGAAGGAGCCAGGAACCCTCAGGAGATCTGTGTACGCAGAGGTATCTCACTCCAGCTAAGATAGTAGTACCTCCCTCGACAGGACAATAAGGGACCAGCACATGCCCAGCCCTGTCATGGGCCCAACTGGCCACGAGGGCCTCTTAGAGCCCACCCCATTGCAACTTTAGCGCATACCTGAGAAACACAATTGGTTTTGACTTAAATTTTTATTTAAAATGTCTAATGGAAGATAAAGACTTACCTTCCCCAGGCTAATGCTTAAAGAATCTCAATTAACTCAAAGGAATGTCAGAGGGAATGGATGTGATAAGAGAATCTTACATTACATCTAACAAAAAAAGTAAACAAACATGCAATAAAATGGACATTTGAATCAGTAAGCAATCTTCATACTGTGTTAGGCAGCAACCCAGACCTCTCCCCAGAACTGGCTGGAGCCACAGCCTCTGAAACAAGGACAAGGGGCTAGAACAGCGTGAGCTAACTGTGCTTGACCTAGTTTTTCTGAGCACAGGGGCTGACCTGCTTCATGCATCTTTTAAAATATGGGCAGACTGACAATAGCAAAAACACCCCCCCCCTCAATTCCAGGGCTGCCTCAGCTCTCAGGATCCCAAATCTTTCTTATTTTTATGATAAAGTTTAATAATAATGAAAAGACAATGAGTCCACCTTGAGGGTTTCAGTCTGGAGGGATAAGCATTATGCCTTCAGAATTCCTTCAGAGATAACAAACAGGAAGCGCAGCAGAGGCACAAAGTCCCCCCACCTGCCCACCGCCCCAAGGACACTCTGTGTGATGGGAACAGATCCTGTTAGCTCAAGGCAAGGCGATGACAGGGCCACCCAGCCGCTTCAAAAGACTCAAGTTAATGAGTCTTCACACGCGCTCCTTACAGGAATTTGATTCCTGCTACAGAGCAAAGCAGTCCTTGTCATTCAAAAAACTCCTTTACCCTTTCCTATCAGAACAAGGGATGCCATCACCTGGCACTTGGGCTTTAATTACCTTGTGCATCCCAAACCCTTTACAAATAGAAAGCCCCACCAAGGGTTCAATGGTGACCAGTGAAGGTCAGAGATGGCAACCTGGACTCCTGTGCAACCATCTAGCTTGTAAAATGAGTACCACCAAGGTCACCGCAGCCAAGTCACACAGGGCTGGGGGGAACCCAGGGGAGGTGCCTGGGGACCGAACAGGGACATGTACTGAGCTGCCCTTCCTGCCCTACATATCAAGGCTATACTTTCTCCAAATTCTCAATGTCACAGGACCTTAAAACACCACACTCAGAATCCTTTAAAACTTTTCACAGCAGTCATGCCCCCTGCAATCTGCATGCCAATTTTAAACTAAAAGCTGCAAGAAATGTCAGAACAAGGTTTGTCTTTTTCTTTAGTTAGATCCAAATGGAATCCATGAAGTCTGCAACCAAAGCTAAGCCACTGGGAACACAAAAACAACCACTCACTCCTCTGTTGCTAACCAAGGCTCTGGAAGGGAGACTTCAGAGCGGGCAGGGCAGAAACCCCCAGAGGTGACTGTGGTCTCACCTGGGGGCAGAACCTGAGAGAGTAGGAGCTATGCAGCATGAAAGGCCACATCAGAACCACAGGCCAGGAGGCCTGGCATCACAAGGAGTAGGCTTTCCAAGCACCAAGACAATCCTGTAAAGATGCAGGCCCCTGAGCCTTTGTGAGCCCTGAGAAGCCCACTCCATGTCACAGGAGTCCTACCAGGTATTCTCAGAAAGCGCTAAAGGTCCTGGTTAACCATGGTGAGAGGCCACTCTGACACCACCCAATGAGGACTGGCTGTGCAATAGAATGCTGGGGGCCCTGCGTCCTGTCCCTGCTCGGCTGTGGCAGCAACACAGTATGAAGATGAAACAACCAGAGGTCACTTGACTGCACGGTGGTTAAATAAGTACTATCGAGAGCATGTGGCTGGTCCCGGAGTTTCACAGTAAGTGACCCAATTTAAAAAACCAATCCTTCATGATGTTTTCATGTTTCTTTCAGTTTTAAGTGGAACCTCGGATCTCAGAGGCCCTTGCTCATCACATTACAGGTCAGCATTACACAAAGGGGGTTGGGGCAGACATCTGAAGGAGTGGTCGCTGAAACCAAGCCTGAGGCAACACTGCAATCTCACTGGAGGCCAGCCCAAACACATCAGGGTGCTCCCATCCCCAGTACCACCCAGGCCGCCCAGGGAAGGGGCTCCAGAAGCGAAGCCAGATGGCCACCCTGCTCAGGAAGCATGAGGCCCCATGGTAGAACCAGGTCCAACTTCACAGTCAGCAATCCCAGATGAACTTGTCCGATCCTCTTTTCTACTAAGGAATTTTCCTTTCCAGTGAAATCCCTCAGTTGCCTAAGACTTGGTTTGGTCTTAAGGTAAAATAAAACTACAACTACACACTTTTTTGCCCATGATGTCGTGAAAATGCATGTTGACAGCCTGGTCCACTGATTGTTCGTCCTCGAAAGTAATAAATCCAAAACCTAGCCAACGACGAAGAGTGAATCAAGGTAGCAGGGTGTTGTGACACAAAACAGGATGATGAACAGTATTAGGGAGGGACCAAGGGATCGGCTCAGGGTTTCAGCTAAGCCCCGTGTTGAGAAGCTACAGCCAAGGGCCACGGCTCCCAAGGGAGCCATCGACCCAACAGAGTGGACAGACAGCGACGTCTGCACTCTGCACCAGCTGACTGAGGTCTCCACCCAATACTGGGCGGGCTGAGTAGACGCAGGCTCTGTGTCAGGCACACTCTGGGGAGGAGAGGCACATCTCAGAGAGCCTCAGCCAGTGAGGCAAACAGACCTCTGTCATCCAAGGCCTGGGCCACTGTCCTGGCTCTCGTCCATGAAGACGACTGTGAGCTGCCCCTGCGAGAGGGGAGACCTCACCAGGAACCCACCTCAGTCAAGGGTGTGCGTGTGGGTGCATTTCTGCTTTTCTGAAACCCAGGATTCTCCCCCTTGGCTTGCAATTTGCTTTGCAGCTAGTGCTGACAGCAGCCATATATCGTTCTAAAGCGTTAAACAAAGTACAGAATCTACCACAGTGAGTGCCTCACTAAGCTTATCCAACACTGTTGGGTAAGCCCAAGGAGTCCTACCAGAGGTAACATATGTATGTTTATATGCATATATGTATACAGGTAAATAAATAGGTAATACACAAAGATACAGGCCACAACGGGTTCCAGCAGGTCAAATTCTGCTGTCAGCAGCAAGAGCAAGAGGCACCATGTAATCAAAAAAGAAAATTTTAAAGGAAAAAAAAAAAAACAAAAAAAAAAACAATTTAGCATTTCCCAAACACAAGAAAGTGGCAGTATAAACGAAGTTTGGTTGGTCTGGGGTGAGCACAGCCACCCAGCTAATAGAGTGTGTCTCCTCTTCTATGGGTAGGAGTGACCAGAGTTTCCTGTCTGGTATGAATAGAATGAGACCGCAGAGCACATTGACCTCCGAGGCGGCCTGATGAGCACTACTATCTCCCGATGGCCTGGTACTTGGGCACTGAGAAGTGAGCAGCAAACTGCTACCCAAAGACCTCAGAAGAACAAAGATGGACAAGGGAAAGCCAAGAACCAGGTTGATAGAGGCTGTCATCTACGCCAGGGTCACAGGGTTGCTACAGAGCATCGAATGGCAGAGGGACAGCGTGATACAGGCAGCACTGTGCACCAGGAGAGAGGCACGAGCTGGTGGAGAAGGAACACAGGGTTTGAGCAGGCAAGGGGCCCTGGTAAGGAGCAACTGTGGACAGGGCTTCTCAAGCTTATGGACTGTGGTCCTGGAGCACGAGGTAGAGAAGTTCTAAGGAAAAACTGTGGGTTGGAAGAGGAGGGAAATGGGGAAGAAATGGCAGCTCAGGAATTGGAGGTGAAAAAGACCACAGCAAAGGAATCAGGTTCGGGAGTCTTCTGATTTGCCCTATGTGTGCACACGGGCATCTGAGCATGACTATGCGCACCCACTTGCACCTGCAGGGGTCAGGACACAACGGGAGAGGAGAGAAAGTGAAACCATGAGGGCAAAGCACACAGGAGGGAGCACAGGTTGGAAAGGAAAAAAATCCAAGAACAAAGGGAGTGTGAGGTGAGCAGATGCAGCAGGCTGGAGAGAGTGTGAGGCCAGAAGTCAGGAACATGGGGAGGGCCAAGTGGGGACCACTGCGCAACAGCAGGAATTTTCACACCAGGAGATGGTGTGTTGGGAACACAGGGACGGTCTCGCATACCGGAACATACATGTCCACTATTTTAAGTAAACCGAGACAAGGAACAGGGAGAAGGGAGAATGGAAGGGAGGCAGACTAGTTCTTAAAAAGATTCAGCAAAGCCAAGAAGACAGGGACTTGCTGTCTGGGAGGACCTGCTAACCTGCCCTCTGATAATCTGGCAACCCCAGGGACAATTCCCAAGTCTGATGGCTGAGTGAGGCAGGAAACATAGGTCCCATGCCAGCCAGAAGCTTCCTCAATGTCAGACCCTGTTGCCTCCCACCAGCTGGGCTCAGCGACCCTAGCTACTTCCAATCCTGATCGGACAAGCACAGTCAGAGCAGGCGGACAGCTCTGCACAGCTGCATTGGGACCAGGAGCACCCAAGAGCAGCCCTCAGATTCCCAAGCATTGGAGGTTCACAAGATCAGAGGCAATATTTGGAACACAACATAGGTGAAGAACGACATGTTAGAAAGTTGACATTTTCTCAAACATCAGGAGTGTCTGAAGCCACAGGGCTGGCTCGGTCCGTGTACAGTACAAGAGGCGGTGGGCCGTGGGTAGGGAGCCCAGAGCAGGCTTTCTAGGAACGATCTGTCTGTCAAGAGGCGGCAGCGGGACAGAAACACACTGAAACTTCGTTTACACCCCACTGGAGCAAAGCCGCTCCCTCCTCTGACTGCGGGACGGGCCTGTACCTGTGTGATATAATTTAGCACCTGGAGAAGAGAAATCTAAAGAGATATCGTTAATCACAAACAATTCACAGAGAGAAAAGGAAAACAGCTTACTTAACATTACTGTACTTTACTATGAAACACTTAAGTACATCGCTAAGCACATATGTCTACGTTAAATTAAGACTTAACAGCTTAATCACCAAGTGAGCAACACGTTCCTTAACCATGGATAAGAGGAGGATGGAGGTTCAAATGGCAAACTATTCTCCAGCATGGCGGGCACATGCTGCGGGCTAGAGCCGCTTGGCTCTAAGGGGTTGCCTCCGCCTGACCTCAGGCAGATGGTGCGTGAGGGGACGTGTGACATGGAGCCACTGCGCAGACCTTGAACTGGCAGGTCTGCTCACGCGGCTAGTCCAAAAGCAGCTGATGAACCAAAAACATGGGCAGCAACAAATAGCAGCAGCCACAAAAAAAGAAAAAAAAAGGCGGGGGGATGAAAGTGGGCACCCTCACCCACTCAGACCAGCGCAGACATACAGGTGTGGGAAGCTTGGGGAAGGATGCAGGAGGGCATGAGGCAGCGCCTCACCCCTCCTCCCACCTGCCCCTCTGGCTGAAGGGATAAAAACGAGGGGGTGGGAGAAAAGCATGGGATGGACAGAGGGAAGCCCGGATTCCAAGCTGAGCTGGGTGGGTACAGCTGGCACATGAGTGGGACTGGCCACACTGGTGAGGATGGGATGACACAGGTGTGAGAGAGAAGCTCAGTCTGCAGAACCACACTCCTCCAGGAGACATTTAAAACAGAAACCACATCAAAATTCATGTCAGGTCATAAAAACTTCACAAGAACGAGCCAAAAACAATGTGTGATGTCTGACCTTGGGAAGCACAGACAGGCTGAATGGAGCTGCGCAGGGGAGAGCCTACATTTTAGCGGTTAGGTCTCCAATTTGTCCTTACTGAGCAATGTTCCCTACGACCACCACCTAGCCTGTGTCTAAGGGGGTGAGATAGTTTGCCATCTGAGGGGGAAGGGGCACAGGTCAGGACAAACTAGATTAGCCGTTACCTCGAGGCCTCTGCTTTTCTGCATCATAGATCATAACCACCTCGGTGACCTGGAGATGAAGAGAGCAAAGTAAGGTGCAGGTACTATTTCTCTTTCTAGTAAGAGCCCCAAGCTTCAACTTTTGTGAACACCACGCTTGAGCTTGGGAAATTTTAGGGCCAAGGTAAGCCTTATAGGGTCTAGTGTATGAGAACCCAACATTGATGGGGTGGACAGAACAAACTGCTTTGGCCACAAGCTCCTGGGTAGGCACAGGGACACCTGTGTTTGCAGAGAAAGGTGAGGCGACCATGATCCCAACTGCATGTCCTAGCAGGGGATGTGACCTAGGAGAGTCCACAGGTACCCTTCCACTCATATTTGAGGGAAGTGAGGCTTAGTCAGGTGAAGGAAGCTTGGACATCATCATTACAGGCAGCTGTGGGCTCCAGGATTCAGGCAGCAGCACCCAGTAGGCCATGGCTCTGTACTCTGCCCCTGCCCAGTACTCCTTCCTCCCTGGCCCAGCCTGCAGCACCCTTAGGAACACCTGATAAACAGACTGCAACCAGAGCTCACAGGGCAGTCAAAAGGAACACCTGATAAACAAGACTGCAACCAGAGCTCACAGGGCAGTCAAAAGCTGATCTGCCGGCCAAGCCCATACACCTCACTCCAAAGAGAGCTGTGTCCCACCCCGGGCCCTCCCCAGTGTCAAGTCCCAGGGCTGGCTGAACATCTCATAGGCTGCTCCACCAGGGCACTGAGTTCCCTGCATGACTCCTCAAAATCTAAATTTCCAAAGGAATTCTCAAGGATTTCAGTCTTTCCCAGAAAAACCACTTAGGGGTAGCCTTGCCATCAGAGAAAACATCAAAGAGGAAATGGGTTAAAACATCTGTGATGCCAGAGAGGCCTGGAGGATAAGTGAGCTTGCTTCTAGACTGCTGGGCTGTTTTGTTGATGCAGGACCCAGGAAATTACCTCACCAGACCAGCCCACTGTACCTGAAGGCTGCTTCCTCACGGGCACCTGGTCTTGGGCCTTGAGGAGGGGAAGATGCTAACCTCAGTGTGGACCTGGTCTAGGGCCATCCCTCCAGCAACCAAGGGGCAGCATGACTTCTTGGGCACAGCTGGCTCCACAGCCAAGCCAAACACCATCCTCTTCACTACCATTATCTGATGCTTCAAACCATGATGGTCACAAGACAAGACAATCAGAGGGGCAATCGTGAAGTCCATCTAATTTAGCACTTGCTGGAAAAGTCACAGGAACATTCTGCTGGATCTCAAATGATCATAAAGAGAAAGGCTGGGTCTTGTTTTTTTTTTTTTTTTTTTTTTTTTTTTTTTGGGGGGGTGGGGTGGGGTGGGTGGGGATGGAGGACATGGGAATGTGCAGCAGATCCTCCAACTTTAAGGAGGCCAAGGATGGGAAGCACCTGCTGGGACCAGCCAGCACACTGAGGCACAAGGAACTTACCACTCCAAATTTCTTGAAGTATTCCCTGAGCTCTGTCTCACCACAGTTGTGAGGAATTCCACCAACGAAGATCTTGTTTGATTTACTGTTATCGCTCCGGGGTCCTTTCTGCTGTGTTGAGGAGGAAAAGGGGATTAGCTTGTGGTAGGACTTTAAATACTTCCCATTAGTTAGGTGTGACATCATCTTTGCATCTGTTCTAAGAGTCAGGTGAAAGTCAGACCAAACACACTCTAAAAATCCAAAGAAGTCAAAAGAACACAAAAAACTGGGGCTGGGACTGGGGCTCAGTGGTGGAGTGTTCGCCTAGCATGTGCAAGGCCCCGGGTTTAATCCTCAGCACCACGTAAAACTAAATAAATAAAATAAAGGTTAAAAAAAAAAAGAACACAAAAAATTGAGCTGAGATGACCCACTTCTCTGGACATACATGGAGACAGTAATCATGGCATTTCTGTAAGGCTGTATTTCAGGTAAGTGTGAACAGAGCACACCTTACGTCCCACCTCAGCTATTCTAAACGACAACAGCCACAACCATTAAAAGCTCTGCAAGCCCGACTTGATGGTGCACGCTTGTTGTCCCCGCTAGACAGAGGCAGGAGAGTGGCTCGAAATGAGGAGTTCAAGACCAGCCTGGGTAACATAGTGAGACCTTGTCTCGAAAACTCCCACAGCTCTGCAATGCAAAGCTAGAGATTTTGAAGGAGTGAGGAGAAGGCAGCTTTGAGGATCATAGCTTAGACAGCTGAGAAGCAACTGCAAGATATCTGCTCCTTCTTCTTGCCCCTCTGTTTCCAATCCTGACTTCCTTTCCCTATCCAAGGACATCATGTTTTATGTTGCCACAACTACTTTGGATTAAGAGACCAGACTTTGGGGAATGGAGTTCACTGCCATAATGGGCGATGGTTTCATGGGTGCACAGGTCAGTCAAGTCATCAAGTTACGTAGTTTATTACATGCCTAATACATCTTATAAAATGGCTAAGAGACTAAAATGTCTTAACTAGGGCTCAGTGGTAAAGCACTCACTTAGCAAGTGTGAAGCACTGGGTTCAATCCTCAGCACCACATAAAAATAAATAAATAGAATAAAGTATTATGTTTTTAAAAAAAGACTTAACTAATAACCAGACAGAACCTAACCCTTGATTGGACTTCAGGAGACAAGAGACATTTGTGAAGCAATCCTGGAAACAGGAGTACAGACCAGACACACGACATCCTTAGGTGTGGCGACGAGGGTGGGGGATCTGACTTTAGGAGGACACACCACTAGTTAGGAGGGATACATGTAGTCAGACATAGCCATAAATATACATAAATATTTGGCAAAACTTAACAGCTGATGAATCTAGTGGGATATTTAGATATTCACTGTACTAGTCTTCCAATTTTCCTGTACTTAAAAATTTTGAGGGCTGGGGATGTGGCTCAAGCGGTAGCGCGCTCGCCTGGTATGTGTGCGGCCCGGGTTCGATCCTCAGCACCACATACCAACAAAGATGTTGTGTCCACCGAGAACTAAAAAAAAAAAAATTAAAATTAAAAAAATTCTCTCTCTCTCTCTCCTCTCTCACTCTCTCTTTAAAAAAAAAAAAAAATAAAAATTTTGAGGGCTGGGGATGTGGCTCAAGCGGTAGCGCGCTCGCCTGGTATGTGTGCGGCCCGGGTTCGATCCTCAGCACCACATACCAACAAAGATGTTGTGTCCACCGAGAACTAAAAAAAAAAAAATTAAAAATTAAAAATTAAAAAAAATTAAAAAAAAAATCCATTAAAAAAAATTTGAAATATAACTTTGGAAAAAAAAAATGTTGCAAGGGTCTAAGGTCTCATCCTCCATAGCAGCTAGAATACTGCTAGAAAAGCAGATTCTTAGGCTCCACCCAGCCCTCTGACCAGGGGCACCTGGAGGGGTCAGCTCAGCACTATCCAGAACTCTCTATCAAGACAGGAGTGCTCTCCATCTTCATTGCCCATGAAGTTCTAGTGATGCAACTGCTGGGCCAGGCAAAGGCAGTATGTATGCTGGCAAAACCCAAAAACAACTAAACACCACTCAAGGATGATAACTGTACCTGAGCAACAGGGACCACAGTTCATGAGAAACCCTTCACCACAGGATGGGGTTTTAAGTTCAGTTGACCACCGTCCTCCCTTACCCATGATCACTTAAGACCATTTAGAATTTTCTTGGTTACAAGACAAAATGCAGTACAGGCTAAAACTGGGCAATTATCAATTACTCCAGGGTCATCTAGAAGACCTCTACTGCTCTCCTGCTTAATGAGCAACACCACCAGAGGAAAACATATTTTCCCTTTAAATCTGCCCAAAGTACACACAAGGAGGCCAGGCGCTGAGGGACACGCTGCAATCCCAGTGACTCGGGAGGCTAAGGCAGGAGGGTTGCAGGTTCAAGTCTCAGCAACTTAGTAAGGCCCTAAAGCAACTTTGCAAGACCCTGTCTCAAAATAAAATAAAAATGCCTATGGGTGCAGCTCAGTGGCAAAGCATGCCTGGGTTCAATTCCCAGTTTAAAAAAAAAAAAAAAAAAAACCGTTCACAAGGAGGCCTCCCAACCCCAGCCTCTTACCCATCCTTCCTTTGGCCGTGTTCGCTCTGGCTGCATTCCCCGAGGAGTGCATGGCTTCGGGTCGATCTGTAGGAAGTTTCAAACCAGCCCATTGTGAACACAGGCTACTTTCTCTAGAAAAGAAGGTGTTTCCAACAGCAGCCAGCTTCACGGCACACTGGCCCACACAGGCCACCCAATTGGCCCAATCCTCCAACAGCTAGTCCAAATACCAAGGCCCAACCCCTTTAAATCCAGCCCACATTAAAAGACTCTAAAATAAACATAAGTCAAAGTTCAGTCACAGAGTTAAGCTGAAGGAATGGCAAACAAAAGACAGGGCAGGAAAGAATGAGAAGACACTTACATTCCGGCCGTCCAGGGTGTGTGGTCTGCTGGCCAGCACTGTCCCCACACAGTTTGGGTCTTTAAATTTGACAAATCCAAAACCACGAGACTGGTTGGTTGTTTTATCTTTCATGATAACACAGTCAACAACTTCTCCATATTGGGAAAAGTAGCTGCGCAGAGTCTCTGCTCAGAGATTGGGAACAAAAACACAAACACACACAAACCAGGGCATTAAGCAAACACATCTAACAGTTGGAGGGTGCACATGCACACTCACTTGCTCCCTTCCAGTTCATCGGCCTTACCTGAACAAGTCTGGGATGAGCAACACATGAACTGGCTTAGCAACTAACTGCTGAGGGGAGGAAGAGGGCCCAGAAGAGGTACATGGAGATGGGCAAGGGAAATTCTGCACAACAGATGCATTACATCCTCATAAATTAGAAAAGGGACAAATGACCATAGCAATAGCAGATAGCTCTGTTCTGCTTCATAGGAATAAGAGAGCAAAGCTTAAGGGGATGCAAACATGACAACATTTAAATGACAACCAGCAACCCAGGAATGCTGACTTGATTCTGAACACAGTGACTGCCCTAGCAAAACCCTAGACCTCTACCCCACAGTGAATAGTTCCACAACCTTCTTGTGGCTTGCAACTGTGGGCCACAGTCTTCCTGTGGCTTTGACCAAAAAGATCAAGACCAATTTAACAGATTCAAAGGGAACACCACTATCTCTGCCCCTATACAGCTCCCAGTCAAATGTCTCCTGCCCAGAAACCCAGACAATGTCCAAGGACTTCAACAAATCCCAGGCAGTAGCAAGAGATGAGGTCAGGGAGCCTCATAGTCTGTAGCACCTACCTTGGGTCGTGCTCCAATCAAGGCCGCCCACAAAGAGCTTCCTGCAATTCAACAGAAAATGTTCAGGATCAACTTGACTCTCAGCTCAGGATTGTTCCTATCCCACCATGCCAAGAATGTAATTCAAACAAGGAGTATTGCAAATGGGCTCATGTATGTCCCCTTTGGAGCATACACAGCTACAGCTTTGTCCACACTGTTCAGACATGAGCAATGATTCCAACTTGTACCATAGGTGTGTCATAGAACCCACTGACTACATGAAATCATGCTACTTCCAAGTAGGGCTTGGAAATTCCAGCATCTGCAAATATTTTATAATCAGGAAAAGGAATTAAGGAATCTAGATTTCATTTTTTTTGGGGGGGTAACTAGGGATTGAACTCAGGGGCACTAGACCACTGAGCCACATCCCCAACCCTATTTTGTATTTTATGTAGAGTCAGGGTCTCACTGAGTTGCTTAGTGTCTCGCCACTGCAGAGGCTGGCTTTGAACTCGCAATCCTCCTGCCTCAGCACCCCCAAGCCTCTGGAATTACAGGTGATTTTAACTGGAAAAGAAACTGACACATAAGATATTTGTCCCACCCAGCCTCTGAATTACAGTTGAGGGTGTGGATTCCGTGCTGGAGCCCTATACCCACATCCCCACCTCAAGGCAGCCTTTTTGGATAGATGCAGGGGGCTTTCATGAAGAATCCCATCACCAAGGTCTCAACTTTCCCAGTTCTCAAGGGCCTGGCAGGACCCAGGTTGAACAGAAGCAGCCAGGGGCAAATGCCCTGAAGGCCTGGGTGGAGCCAAGGCTGTGCTTATCTACTGTTGCCCAGAGCACCCACTGGGCACAGCTGAGACACACACAGGGCCTCAGAGCTCACCTGCCTATGGGGCCTCAAGATTCCCCCAAACTCAGGGGGCAGGCCAGGTGAACCAGCTATAGCTTGCATGTCCTGCCCATTACATCAGGAAAAAGAACACACACTCATCAGGTCCTTCATCTGAGCCTCAGCTGTACCAACCCCATCATCACCCTCCCAACTAGACCATCTTCAGAGACTAGAGCACCCTTCAGGCTTAGGGTCACCACCTGAGACACAAGAAATCTTTTGGCATCACTAAAAATGCGAGACCACCATACTACACTGGGCTCTTCTCAACCCCCCCCACCTCTGGCACTCTAGTACTGGGGGCTGAACCACTAACTATACCCCTAAGACTTTTCTTTTTTTATACCTTTGTTTATTTTCATTTCATGTAATGCGGGGGGGGGGGGCGCTCACGCATGCCCACTCTACCACTGAGCCCAACCCTACCACCAGAAAGGTACAAACCACCATTTTCTTTTCTTTTTTTTTAAATATTTATGTATTTTCAGTTGTAGTTGGGAACAATACCTTTATTTTTTATATGTGGTGCTGAGGATCGAACCCAGGGCCTTGCATGTGCTAGGCGAGCACTCTACCACTGAGCTACAACCCCAGCCCCAAACCACCATTTTCAAAGTGCCAATAAGCAAGCCCTGCATTGGCCAGACTAGTTTAAGCTCTAAGCCTCATTTAAATTCCAAATCCAAAACTTAGGTATTAAGAGTGAAAGGCTTGGACTGGGCATGTGGCTCAAGCGGTAGTGCGCTCGCCTAGCATGCGTGTGGCCCGGGTTCGATCCTCAGCACCACATACAAACAAAGATGTTATGTCCACAGAAAACTAAAAATAAATAAAATATTAAAAAAAAAGAGTGAAAGGCTAAAAAGGCCATTATCATCACAGCTGACACAACTGGAATAGAACCTGCAGATCACATAAGTGTGCCTCAAGATGGCACTCTACTTTGGGAAACAGGATACCTCGTGGTGTCCAAACCTTTCTAAATATTTTTTGAGATAGGATCTCATTAGGTTGCCTAGAGTGTCTTCAAACTGCAGATCCTACTGCTTCAGCCTCCAAAGTGGCCAGGATGACAAGTGTGCCCAGTCATACCCAACTTTGAGACAAGACTCTTCCCCAGTGAGCAATGTCCCATCAGCATCAAGGGAGCTTAGAGCCCAAAGGAAGCTTCCTCTGACAGCTCCTGACAGCTGCCCCAGGAGCAACCCTTGCAAGGCGGATGATGCACCCATCACTGCTCAATCCCATGACCATGACCCTCTGTAAATGCCAGCTTCCCTTTGTCAGCCCTTCTGTCAAGGATTGTTCCTACTCCTTTCCTCCAAGGAAAAGTAATTTAGATTTAGTGTGAAAAACAATTCCCCACCACCAGAAAGGTACCCACCACCATCTTCAAAGTGCCAATAAGCAAGCCCTGTGTTGCCCAGTTCTTGCATGGGGGGATGAGAAGGGCAAGGATGCAGAACCTTCCTGGAGACAGATCTGTAAAGACATGTTCCAGGGGAGATGTGCTGACCAAGCAGCCACAGGAGGCTCAGGTTTAAGCCTCATTAACTTAAAACCATGAGTATCCTACACACCTTGGAATGGGGCCAGAGAGTGCTGAGGTGAGGCCAGGTCAAGCAGGCAGACAGCAGGCCTCTTTGTGCCTCACTCCCCACAGACCAAGGGCAGGCCTACGGTAGGCCATAGGTGAGAAGGCTAGTGACATCCACAGAAACCAAATCAAAGCAAATCCCACCTTACCAAAAAATACCAGTCTTTATTTAGCACAGTCTCCAAGCAAAACAATGAGGGGATAAGCAGGTGTCCTCCTCCAAGCAACTCAATCTTTGCCAGGGCTGCCACTGCCAGGACAGAACTGGCCAGACTAGTTTAAGCTCTAAGCCTCATTTAAATTCCAAATCCAAAACTTAGGTATTAAGGGTGAAAGGCTAGACAGGCCATTATCATCACAGCTGACACAATCGGAATAGAACCTGCAGATCACATAAATGTGCCTCAAGATGGCACTCTACTTTGGGAAACAGGACACCTCGTGGTGTCCACAGAAAGAAGAATCAGGTCTCTGGCTTACTCTCAAAATATTAAAAAACAAAACAACAACAACAACAAAACAACAGTGTTGGGGGGAGACTATAGCAAAACTATCATGTGCAGATATGGAGCCATTGCTAGCCATTGGCTGGGCAGAGTACATCATGGGAATTTTTGTTACTATGTTGGTAATTTCTCTGTAAGCCTGAAGTTATATACAATTATAAGTTACGAAAACTTTCATTACTGAGGAAATGATGTCATTTAAGTTTTTTCTGTTACAGTCTCATCACTCATGAAATCTGACAGACAGTAAGCACTCTGCGCTACTTGCTGAGGGGAAGAAAACTCGCCTGTGTGTGAAAATCTTGTGTGTTTCTTTCCTTTACTCCTGCTTGGAAGGGGACAGCAGGTAAGGGGACACATTCCCCCAGTCAACAGGGGGAAGATTCTAGAAGGTCCCAGTAAGAAGGCTGCATCTCCTCAGTTGCAGGGGTCAGCTCTAGGAATCTGGCACAAAGTCCTAACCTCTGAACCTTGGTTTTTTTTTCCCCCCTTTTTTTCAATCAATAAAATAAGAAAGTCCCTGGCAGCCAACCCACCAGGAGTGAGCAAGAAGCCAAGAGGAGTTCAAGGCAAAGACTCAGAAGGTTCTCTTAACCAGGATCAGCTCGCCTAGAGGCCAAGACACTTCTTTGCATTAATCGGTAGCCCAAGTGCTTCTGTGCCCAGCTTGCTCACACTATGCCTCCCCCAGCACAGTGTGGCTAGAAGGTGTGAAGTAAAGGATTAGCACAAAGCTCTGCTCCCAGGCTCTGCCTCTGCAGGGCTCATGGGTAGGGGTCATTACCCAACAATGGCACCTCTCATATGGCTTCTCTATGTGGCCCAGAGCCAGGAG